ATTTCTTTTTAAACTCAATATGTAGCTCTTTCATATTGACTAGTAGAAGTCGCTTTTGGATATGTTGCTTTATACTATCTACTTTAACTGAAACAAACTCTTTTTTTCTTGGACAAACCCTTGAATATTCATCGCATTCATAGAAATGAACAACCTCTGTAATTACATCTTCGCTTAGTTTTCTACCCAATTTTGGAGAAGGTTTTGATAGTATTCCACTTTTTTTCCTTAATTTTCTGGCTTGTATTACAGATCTTTTTGAAGTCAAAAAAAACTTCTGAGTTTTCTCTATTGACCAACTGTCTGGAGTGAGTGTAAGAAGTGTGATTTTTTCAGAATTTGACAATGTTTTTTCAAATTTTGACTTAATTTGAGTCATAATATTGTCTAAATCTGTGTTTGTTTTTTTCAAACATTTTTTTGAGGGTGATTCAATTCCACCAAGTGCAGCTATTTCTAAACCTAGCACATTGGCAACAGCCTTTTGTGTATGAGCTCTTACGCCACCAATTTTACGCTTTCCATATGCAACTCTATCTTTTTTTGAAACAAGTTTGAGAGGTGAGCATCCAAAACTTGAATTAAGATCTTCTTTTAATGTATGGTTGTCAACATAAATTTCTTTTTCTTGGACTTCATTTTCTTTTGTATTATGTTTGTAATTCAGAACTTTTCTGCAACTAGTGCAAATTTTATGACCAGGTATTAAACTGAAATTTTTGGCATATGAAAGACTGATAACTCTAAGAGAATCTAAAAAATAACGGAAATAATTATTAAATATTGTTTTTTTTATTTATTTAGTGTTATTAAGGTATTTTTATTAAATTAAGATATTAAATATTGAAACTTACTTTTCACTTTTTTTGCGTGCTTGTTCAACGGATTACAACAATACCTGCGATGTTCATTCTCATACCTCGACAAGTAAACTTTCTCGTGATAGCTACAAATAAAATCTATGGGATTTATTTTGCTTCTCAAAGAAATAAGCTCTTGGTTTAGTGTAGACAGTTCTTGGTAGCGTTTACTTTTTTTAGATAGATAGCACTGTTCATTTAATGCTTTACCAATACAGCAAGTAGAAAGCTCAGGCATATTACTTATTATTAATTAGTTCTAAAATACAACAATTTATTTGGTTTTATTAGTACTTTTTAGATTGACATACTACACCTTTTCAAGATGTAAATGAGAACATGAAAGTTGTAATTAAGAAGTCGTAATATGCAATTAAGAAACACAACATGTAATTGAGAAAACGTTATATGTAACTGAGAAACACAAAATGTAAATAAGAAGTCGTAACATGTAATTAAGAAACACAACATGTAATTGAGAAAACGTAAGATATAATTGAGAAATCATAATATGTAATTGAGAAATCGTAACTTGTAATTGAGAACACATAAATTAAAATAGCAAATTCACAGTCTAAGTTTGTAGTTTGTTACAAAAGGTCTTTTTGGACATGAATTTAAGTTATATTCTTAAATTTTGCTTTTGTATGCACAAGTAATAATAATGGAATTGAAAGATCGTTGTGTTATATGCCAATACACTATGACCCGAAAGTCTGTGATTAAGCTAAATCCGTGTCAACATTTATGTCACCAAATTTGTTTACGTCCAGTTCTGGATTCAAGTTGTCCGATTTGTCAGCATGAAATACACACAACTGAACAAGTTGAAAGGAAACGTTACGTTTTATCTTCTCCAAATGACAGGAGAAAAGTTGTTGAATGTGCGGAGCGATTTGAAGATTGGGTGAATCTCGCGCAAACGCTAGGTATCAAATATAAGACAGCATACAATTAGGTTCGCAGCGGAAATTCAAATTTCATCGGAAAAGGAGGTTTTAAACCGAAAAAGTTGACCGAAGATCAAATCGAAGAAACATTAACATGGATTGAAAGTGATTGTCAATTAACATTGGTGGCCATCAAAACAAAGATATTAAGACAATTTAACATAAACGTTAGCACAACAACAATAGCAAATTACCTCGAAGGCAGATTGTTCTCATTAAAAAAAGTGCACAAGGAGCCTTCTACAATGAACAGTTATGAAAACAAACAAAAAAGAGCTGAATATGTTAGAAACATCAACGAACATATCACAAATGGTCGTCAGATAGTTTGGTTGGATGAAACAAATTTTAACCTTTTTTGTAGAAAAACGCAAGGAGACAAGGAAAAAGAGCAATTATGAAAGTACCTGCTTCAAAAGGTTTAAACATACACTTGATCGCAGCTATTTCAACTACAAATGTCGTCATGATAGAAACTCGCAGAGGATCATTTAAAGCAGATTCCTGTAACGAGTGGATGTTGGCTATGTTTCACCAGTGGGTTACATCTGGGAATCGTTTGGAGGATTTGGTCGTCGTAACAGATAATGCTCCTTGTCACGCTCGTTTGCAAAGGGTGTTTGATAATTCACCAGCTCAGTTGTTACGTTTGGGACCTTACAGTCCAATGTTGAACCCGGTGGAAACGATCTGGTCCAAAATTAAAAGTAACGTTAAAAATGCAATTCGCATTCCACCTGTATTAGGTGACGGGATTGCGGAACAGCGCATGCAGTACTTAGAACGAATTGTAATTGAGGCGAAAAATACTATAATGGGAGGAGATTGTGCACGTGCGGTACAACACACAACCACGCACTATGCAACTATTTTAAATATGGAAGACGTACAAGTTGGTGCTTAAATGATCAATGAAGTGATTTTTAATTATATAATTTTTAATTATAATTTTTAATTGAATTATAAATTTTTCCCTAAAATGTTTTTAGTGTTTATTATGTTAAATTCATTTGCCCAAAAATTATAAATTTTTCCCTAAATTTTTCCCTAAAAAATTAAATTTACGCTACAAATCTTGCGTCATTTTTAAGTGCGTCATTTTATACGCTCCATTTTTTACGCGCCATTTTTTTTAAGCGCCATTTTACACTTACTCCTTTAAAGCGATATCTAAATTAAAATTTTCGTGTTCTCAATTACATCTTTCTATTTCTTAATTACAACTTACATTTTCTCAATTACATGTTACGATTCTTAATTACAATTTTCGTTTTCTAAATTACATCTTACGATTCTTAATTACAATTTTTGTTTTCTCAATTACATCTTGAAAAGGTGTAGTCGATAAGTTTTGTATGGTTTTATTCATGGTTTCGTAACGGAAACTTTAAATAATATAATATTCTATTTTTGTAATTGTAATTTAACCATTAATATTATAACTAGGGGTGCACCGATGCCTACTTTTGGCCGATGCCGATGCCGATAGGTACAGGCCGATGCCGATGCATCGGCCGGTGCATCGGCATCGGCCCTGAAACTGGATATATAATGGAAATATAAACCTGAATAGATAATAACTTATTATTAATAAGTTAGACTTAAACATTGTATTTATGTTTATAGCGTAACTCTATGTTTGCATATAATATAGAAACACAGAATCAAAAATAAAAATTCAAAAATTTCAAAACAATAGGCATCGGCCGATGGTTATCAAGGCCGATGCATCGACATCGATGCATCGGCTAAATGTTCGATGCATCGGCAGGCCGATGCCGATGCATCGGTGCACCCCTAATTCTAACACGTTACTTTGGTAAATGGTAGTAGTTAATTTCACGGAATCAAAACTATTTTTGACACGTGATATTCTTAGTGTTTTCAGGGGTTTTAAACACGCAGTAATTTTTAACGAGTTGTGCGGGCTGAGAAAAAACTCTGGGTATCAAATTTATAGTTCCATATCAGCTGGATAAGCTTTATAAGTTTGAAAAAAAATAAATGAAAAGTATTTCGTAAGAGCAAATCAATCAAATTCTTTAAGAAATTAAATAGATATGCTTTTCAATAGCATTTCGAGACCTAAAAAAAAAAAAAAAAAGCTAAAAAAGGTATGGTAAAATCATTAAACTCATTTATGTTTCAAGCAAAAAAACACATTTTTAATTCTGAGAAATAATAATAACTCCGATGAGTTTTTCCTATATAGTTTTACTTTTTATTCTTTAAAGGCCTTTAAAGAATAAAAAGTAAAACTATTTAAAAAAAACTTATCGGATTTATTATTATCTCTCTGATTACTGATTATTATCATTTACAGATCAGATTGCAGATTTCTATCCCTCAATTACTTCCTTAAGGAAATAATTGTACACTTATTCTTTTAGTTATGTATTGGTTTATATATTTTAAATCTCTGAGTGATTTAAATTGAAGTGATTTAGATTAAAAATTTTACATCTCTCTATTATCTGCACTTTTTTAGAACGTTTTGGCGATATTTATTTTTTTAGAGGCTTTATGAAAAGATTGAGGTGGTATTGCATCACCCATATCTTTTTGAGTCTTAGTCTGTTTTTTAAATTGTCTTATTTATTTATTTATTTTTTACGTAAAAGTCTTATGTAACATATTTTTATTAAACAGCAAAATATATACTACAAAAAAAAAAAAAAGAAAAAAAAAAAGAAAAAAAAAAGATAAGTTGTAAATACCAATAAGAGTCTTTGTGGGGCATACACTAACTAAAATCCAAATTAGAATTTGAATTTTATAAAGGTATGTTGGGTGTTTAATTTTCAAAATAATTTAGCTATGAGAATTTATAGAGTTGAGAGAGGGTTATAGCCACAAAATAAGTAGTCTCCTCCTCTGTAGTAGCCTTCTCGGCCATGAGGAGGTCAATTAAAATAAAATAAAAAAAACATAAGTTTTTGAAGAGCTGTACATTTCAAGACCGTTGAACATCCGCTCCACTTATTGTTATGCATCATAATTAAATATGCTTTTTTATGCTGTTATAAACTTCCAAATAACTAAAAAAAGTGCAACGGAGCAAACTAGGATCAGTTTATACTTTTTACCTAAAGAAGGAAGATTTCTTTTAAAAAGCGATTTTTGATTGGTTTCCTTGATGATTGCGTTAAAAACAACGAAAAACAACATTTTCAAGTTTTATAATTTACGGCAATCGATTGTAAACATAACTTGTTAAAACATCGGCGAGTGAAAGCTATTTGAACCTTTAAAATTAAATATATAATAATACATTTCAGTTGCAAAACTGCTCTATTTAATTTAATGGATCTAAAAGAAATTCCAATTCACTGTTTTATTTTAGACCATCTCAAGGTGACAGGTTATAAAGACACTTTTAACTTATACAAAAAAGAACTTGAAGATAAAGGGATTTTTTTTGATGAGAACGATTTAATTATACCAAAAATAGACGTAGAAGGTAACGAAGAGGTTGATTTAATTCTTTTAAAAGCTTTTGATAATGGAAATTTCAAGCTATTTTGGAACCTATGGGAAAATAATGTTGCAAATAAGTTTAACAATAATGAAAATGACAAATGCCAAAAGCTTGAGTTTTCTATTCATTTATATTTTGCAGTTTATAGCATGATCTACGATAGTAAAGAAAAAAATATTTCAGTTGAATTGTCCATGTCGGATTTTAAACAATATCTTGAAAATAAAGGAGCTTTATTAAGCCAAACAACAGAATTTATATCATTTTATGCATTGCCATTTGTACCAAATCCCAAAAATCATCCCGCATTCAAAGTTTTGTTTGAAAAAAGTTGGAGAGATAATTTGAAATCTGACTTAGAATCTTTTTTAAAGTTTATATTTGATGTCAAAACCAAAACCTACCTAAGTTTCATGTTTACAAAAGCGGTTACTGATGTAAAGAATGAAAAAAAAGATACAAGTGAAATTCTAGATGTATTGAGACATGAAGCTAAAGAACACGAGCTTAGAGCAAAAAGTTGTTTGGTAAAGTTGAATAAACTAAAAGAAGAATACTGCTGTTTAATAGGTATCTCTGCTGAGTTAGTTGATTCATTAGAACAGTGTATTCGCGGTAAGATGATAACACCTGAGTACTTGGTAAATATATGTGGACGTTTATTTAAGAAGAGTGAAGAAATAGACATCACTAAACCTGGTCATACTGGAGATTTAATTAGAAGTTCATTTTCTAATGATTATTTAATTAATACTAATCTTTATGATGATAGTTGCTTTCCTCTAGACTATGTAAAAATAAAGTCAGATTTAGAGTCGCAAATGTCAGATCGGAAAAAATGTTTTGTTTTACAGGCTCTTATTTGGCGTTTAACGCGAGTTAAGTCAGCTGAAGTACGTGAGCAATCTATATCAGCATTTATATCAGCTGATATATTTGGTTGTTCAAAAAGATCATCTATTGAACCATTTATTAAAGTGATATTTTCTTCTTCTGATCCAATTGTTGTTGAGTATTTAGCACGCTACATCAACACGGTGGCATCTTTTGCTGTTGGTCGACTTCACATGTCTCAATCATCATTATTTATAAATGAACTGATTGTATTGATACTTAAGACAGAGAGAAATACACTAATAAGTGAAAACCTGCTTGGTGCATTACAAAAACTTAGCTTAAAGCGCAATGTTCAAGATTTATTAATTAATTCATCTATGATTGAATGGCTATTATCAGGATTAGAAGAACCAGATATGTTTTCAGATTATGCCCTTGAGTACGCAGTTGCACTTTTAATGAATTTATGCCTAAGAACCATTGGTAAAAAAAGATGTGTTAGTAATGCTAAAAATCATTTAAAATTATTAGTTAGTTTACTGTCATACGAAAATGTAGAAATTAAGCCTTATGTTAATGGAACATTGTACAGTATATTAGCTGTTCCCTCTATACGTAAAACAGCTCAAAAGATTGGTATTGAAGACCAACTTAAGTTATATAAACATAATCAGCAAGATGAAAGACAAATTGATTTTATTATTAAGCAAATTAATGTCATGGATGATATCAATTTTAATGACGATGATTTAGAGTCTGATGGTGAAGATGATGATGATGAAGAAGGTGATGCAATTGAAGCTGAAATGGATAAAGAAGAAACTTTAATTGCAAAAAAAGATGAGCTGAATGGTGAGGCTCTTTTATCCTCTAAATATCTGATTAAAATGAAAAATCCACATTTAGTTTTAAAGAAATCAAACGAAAAAGATCAACCTTTGACAAGACCAATAACTCCAGCTGCTAAAAAGCCAAATAGAAAAAAGAAAATTGAAAATCCTGAAAGCTCGTCAAACGATAGCTATAGGCGTAAGCTTCAAGATGAACAATCTCAACTAGAGGTTTTGAAACCACAAGCTAAAACAGAAAGGCCTCGTACCCAGTCTGGAAAAAAAGTTTATAGCGACCAAAATGAACAGATAAAAGAACAACAGAAAAGTAAGCCTTTATCAAAAAATTATAAAGAAGCTTTTGCATCACGACCAAAAGTTCCAAGGACTCCTGAATTTAATAGTAGTAATTCAACAACACCACCTCTTACTCAATCAATATCACCAACAAGACAGTTATCTGGAAAAAATTACTCAAACATATAGTGGCAAAATATATAAGTTGTGTAACTTAAAATATAAAATTAATTAAATAATATATATAAATATATATGCAAATAGCAATTTTATTAAAAAATAAAAATTATAATTTAAATTCTTTTTTTTTATTTATGATTTTTATGATTTGTAGAAATAATAAAATAAAAAATAGTTTATAATTTTTTTCTTTTTATTTCATTGTGAATATTTTTTGAAGCATTAATATATATATAAAAAATTAACAAACAAAAATTATTTTTAAAAAATTGTTAGTAACGTCCACCACATTATTTTTATCATCATTTAGTTTAAATTTTTTTAGTTCATATTAATTTAAAAATAGTTGCCGTTTTGTTCAGCAATTTTGTTAGATTGTTTTAGTACTGAATTTAAGACTTTTATTGCATTAATGTTCGTATATAAAATATGTTTTAGTATTTCATAATAGATTAATAAAGTATATTAATATTTTTTAATTTACTGTATTTGCTTAGCTAAGTATTCTTATCTTCGCATATTAAATGCAGCAATTTATATCAGGAATGTTTGTGTTGTGTTTTAGATGTATCATTCAAATTTTTTGTCATTTTCTTTTTATTAATTTTCTATAATTTGTTATATAAATTAAAACTGTTACACTAACCTTTTGTTGTAATTGTATTGATAGCTTCTAGTTGGATATAATTATAAAACTGTTAAATTAACCTTTTGTTGTATTTGCACTAATAGCTTCTAGTTAAATATATTTATAAATATGATAAACATTAAAGGAATTCTAGGTTGTGTTAAATAAAATATTTGTGTAAAATATTAAACCTTTTGGTGATTTTTTATACAAGTAACACATTTTGCTTAAGTAATTGTAAAAATTAACTTGGGCTCCTTAACTTGCAAAGACATTCTTCATAAAATTGTTGGGTATACATACATATTAAAAAAAAAAAAAAAATTTAGAGGCGAAATAATAAATGTTTCTAAAAGAATATTTTTTGAATGGAATGTGGAAAGAAATTTAACCTATATTTTTTATTCAGTGAAATATTAAAAAAAAAAATGTTATAATAGAAAAAATGTTTTTTTGATCATACTTAGGTAATTAAAATAATAAAAATGTTTTATTATTAACGATTTCGAATGATTATGACTTATTGCTTAAGATTTGTATTTCAAGATGTTTAAAAAAATTATTTGGATTAGTTCAAACATTTTCCCATATAATTAAAAGACATATACAATCATATAAGATGTTTTCAGCATTGCGACGCTTTAGTCGCAAGCCAGAAGAAAAGGTTTTCCCAAGTGGAATTGCTCCTGTAGATCAACAAATGCAAAAGAAGTATGCCAAAGGTGTTCAATATAATAGTATGTCATGATATTTTTTTTCTAAAAAAGTTATATTTTTTTTCTAAAAAAAGTTTATTTAGATTATTTAAATATAAAATGATATAAGTATAAAAAAGTATTTTACATTTTTTTAATACTGATCATTCAGTATTAAAAATCTTCAGCTATTAACTTGATTTCTATTAAATAATATTGCTCTCTACTTTTTTAGTGAAAATTATTATCAAAGGTGATCGTAATACTGGTAAATCGGCTCTTTTACATCGTCTAACTGGTTGTGAATTCAAAGAAGAATATATACCTACACATGAGATACAGGTATTTTTTTATATATTTTTAGTTTTTCTAACATTTAGTGTTTGTTTATTTTTAATTGTTAGAAAAAATCTTAATAAACTTGCTTCAAAACCTGTAATTAATAAAATCAATTCATAATAAAGTCTAAAAAACTTGTATAACCGTGAAACTATAGAAACTCTCTTTAATGAGGCAAACTAGTAGTATGTTTGAATTCTGTAGGAAGCTGATTCCATCAGCTGTATAATATTGGAGTACTAATAGTGTCATTTTGTGAATAAATGGTGTCCCTTTTAGTACTTTTAATGTGCATTTTAGAGGCCATACAAGATGCTCTGAGTTTTGACTTAATTAGCAAGACTGATGCAACTGTATACCTCAATTCTTGGGGTGCCTTGTTTTTTACAGGACTAATTTGGTCTCGCGAAGTTCTCTTTATTTTAAATTATGACCAAAATACCAAAAAATGTTAAACATAAATAACCTGGTGATTGTTTAACTGTTTCAATATATCTTTTACAAATATTTGTGGTCTTGGAAGTAACTTTCCATCAGTTGAATCTTCAAAATTCAACAGAGAGATACTTGTTCTTTGTATGACTAATTTGAATTTGGCTGTTTCTACTTTGGATCTCAGAACTGATGGCTATTATCTTTTGATTTGCTAGGATTCCAATATACTTATGCATTAATTCACCTATTTGTTGAGAAATCAGATTTGAGTTCACTAGTTTTTCTTTTATTCTCTGTCCATTTTTGTATTATCTGTCCATTCTTCTGCTTAACACCTCTTCATCAATTATCTCTTTGAACATTCAAATTTATGTATGTTTCCATGTATGTTCACAAAATTAAGTTTTAACATGCTAAAAGAATTAACTTCTTTACACTAACAGCATGACTGCTAGATCAGGGAAATCAGAGAAAACAGAGAAAAACTAGGGAATTCAGAAATCTGCCAAAAAAAGTCAAAATCAAAGAGAAATCAGGGAAAAAGGCCCTTTGTTAAACTTTCACAACTGAAGTAAGTTATACATTGTACATGTAGTTTAAAAATTTACTTGGCAGATAGTTTTATGAACTTCTTTTCATAAAACTATCTACTATTGTAATAATGTTTATATTTTTTCAATTGAAGAGCATTTTTCAAAAAAAATTTAAATCTAATTTTTCTGAAGTTGAGTTTAAGTAACTTTTAATTAAATCAGGGAAAGCAGGTAGTGTATTAGGGAAATATCAGAGAAAATAAAGAGAAATCCTTTAAATATTAGTAGACAATCTGATTAATCTTTTATTAATTAATTACTAATTAATCAAATGCTTTTATATTTGCAAAATGCTTTTAAACAAAGCGACAATTTACTTTGATTTACTGTTAATTAAAAAAAGTTGAATTTTATTAAAATTATATAAAGTTTAATAAATTTCTGTTACTACTTCTTAAAAAGTACCTTAACTATATTAAGAAAGCAATGATTGATTGTTTATAAAAAGAAAATCAAAAAAATTTTTTTTTTATTATATATAGAAAGTTTTATTAAAATTTGTATAAAGTTTAGTTAATTATATAAATATAGAATAATTTTTTATTATTTAAAAAGTATTTATTCTTTATGATAAATGTAAATCTTTTAAAACAATTTGTATGCTTGATTTTATAAAAATAATACTTTCAACAACAATTGCGTTTTTAATGAAATTTCATTATTATTAGAGTTAATAAACATACAGTAACTTACAGGTGACTGAATACAAACATACATAATAAGTTACTAGTGGATGCACACCTCACCAGAGGTTGGAACAAAACTAAAACATACATTTATATAAAGTGATCTATGTGTGAACTAGCTAGAGGTTCATATAGAACACAATCAAATATATAAAGTGACTTATGGATGAACCGTAATAAACACAGAATATATATATATATATATATATATATATATATATATATATATATATATATATATATATATATATATTGACACCATTGGTGGTGTCAATTTATACCACTGACATTGGTATTGTTAAGCAGTTCCGCTTCCTCTTGATAAATTATTTTTACTTTTTTAGTTTAACCATAAAAGTTTGCTTTCAAATAACTTGATATAAATAAATTTGCTTTTAGTTTGTAAAATACATAATAAAAGTATAATTCACTTAGAATGTAATATGCCCCTTATATAATATATTATAGTATAATAAATTGACGGACTTGAGTAAAATATAGTTATTAAATCTATACTTAGTCTGCAGTTTGAATACTGATCATTATAGACCACTGATTCAGGGATCAATGTCCATAATTCTTTTAAACCTTTTAAAGAGACTGCCTAAAGAAAAGATTGTTATGATATAATTTAATTATTTCTTTTGTTCATCTTACTAAGAAAAGTTTTTTCAAATATTTTAAACTTTGCAAACTACGTCAAGCATGAAATGGTTATAAAAAATATTGCTTTTTAATAAAAATACCTTAACTTGCGTTAGTTTAACTTATAACTTAATTAGCTTTATTAGAATCTTGTTGGAGTAAAGCATAAATACATAGATAAATGAAATTATATTCATACTCTTTGATAAATTTAGGTTTGTTTCCTCATTACACAATCTTTATATAAAAAAGTGTTGCCTAATTTGATTAAAAAGTTATAAATGAGCAAAGTTTAGATATCATTAATTTTAAGCATAATTAATTTTCTTTTAGTTGCAATGCAATGATCTCCATAAATCTTTTATCTTGTAATTCTTCTTTGAACTCACCCTGTTGTAGAGAAACTTTGTATTATCCTAAAGGTGGCTGGGATACTTTTGTGATAATCCTTGGGCTGATGTCTTTTATCTCTCCATCTCTATAAATGTGCTACCTATATAACTTCCTGAATCAAGGCAGGTATGGAAGCTTTAATTCCTTATTGTTGTTTTCAAGTCAAGCCACTTTCTATTCAGTAGTTTTTACCTTCTTGTACAGCTGCTATATTCAATTGTAATCATTTTTTTCATCTTTTTTACAAGAACATCTCTTAAGAACAAACATTTTTTTATTATCGCAAGAAATCAATGTAAAAAGGTGCAATTTGATGTTAAGCTCCATTATTCTTAGTTGACTAACTTATTTCATCTCAAATTTTTTTTTATTCTGATTCACTCCCAACAAGGCTGCAAGCAACCACTATTAAGTTAGTAGTTAATAAAAAAAACATATATATATAGTTATAGAGCAAAGAAGACAGAAAGTTGACAGAAGACTTAAAAAGTTGAAGGTTGTATGAGTCAGGAAAACATGAAGATGGGAGATAGTTTTATAGTTTATGGATTTGATCTTATTGCCTTTACCAAGGATAAGGCAGAACTGTTTGAAAAGAAGTTTTCCTTTAATTAGTAAAAAGGGGATGTCTGATGCTAAACTCAATTATTCTCAATTTACTAAATCAGTTATTTTATCCCAGAAGGTTGTTTTTTTTTTATGTTAATTAACCTCCCCAAGACAGAGAAGACTACTATAGTCAAGAAGGCTATTTTTATTGTGGTTACAACCCTCTATCAACACTTTAACTCCGAAACATGAACCTTGGTGAACTAGGCCACATCGTGGAGAAACAAGTTGAGTGCGGTACCAGGGGCGTGGTAGAGATTAAACTCAGAACTTCATGCTTATGAGGCAAGCGCTCTACCAATACAATACTATCGTAGTTAGGTTTCAGAGTATTTTGGAAAATTTTCTACAGTGCCATTAACAAAGCTAAGTTGAAACTTCCAACTCTAATTTATGAGACTGATCTAATTACCTGTCCTAAAGATAAGGCAGAACTAAGAACAAAGAACCTTTTCTCTAATTTGAATCTAATGGCTGTACTCTTCCTGCTTTTTCAGTTAAACAGGTTAACCCTATCGATAGGCATCCAAATTATTCTGGTTTTGATTGCTTAAGTCATTTTTTTTAAATGAGCTTTTAGCAATTAAGCTTTTATGGGTTTTGGTCCAAATAACATTCCTCTCATAGTTTTACAAAAGATTTCTCCAAAACTTTAATTCTCCCTAAACTATTTAATAACTGCTTGACTGAATCTTATTTTTGTGCCTTCTGGAAAATAGCATCTATGGTTCCAGTTGTCAATAACTCTAGAGAACACTCTGACTCTCCTTACTATTGTCCGATTTCAAATTAGTCTTATCTCTATTATTAGGTCATTGAGTCTTTAATCAATAAATTTTGAACATCTTAAGTTTAATCTCTGACAATCAAACATCTCATCTTAAGTTTAATAGCTTACTCTCTGACAATCAATTTGAATTTAGATCATCTTGTTTTATGTTGACTTGCTAACTGCTCTAACTAAAAGACTATCATGTATTAGATTATGTAGTTAGACCTGCTATATCTTTCAAGCTTGAGCTATTCTCCCATCATAACGTTGCGCCTCTTTTTCTTTTCTACAAATACTATCATGGCCCCTGCTCAAATGAGTTATAATATCTAGCTCTATCAACCAAAACTTATTCTTGCTTGACTTGTCATTCAGCAAAGTTACTTTTATTATATCTGTCTTTTCATGCTCTAAAATTTTTGTTTATCTTTTTTTCCTCGCACTTTAATGCTTTGGAATTCCTTTCCATCTTCATATTTTCCTGACTTAAGCAACCTCCAACTTTTCAAATATTCTGTTTCTTTGCTCTTATACACTATTCTTTGTTTTCCAGTAACTTCCAACTTAATATTGGTTGCTTGCAGCTTTGTTGGGAGGGAATTAGTTTTAAAAAATTAACATTAAGTGGGTACCAGAAGAGTATTTTGAAAAATTGTTGCTTTTGAAATGACTCTAGTATATATAGAGGTATACACACAGTAGAGTACAAAAATAACAGGATAAAAGCATAAATAGACATGTGTATATAGACATCCTCAGAGTTAAGAAAAATTCAGCATTAAATTGCTTGTCTTTTACTGTTTTGATTGGCATCAAATTGATGCAACTTTTTTCAAACGTAAAAATTAAAACTCAAAAGGAAAGAACAAAATACAAAGTCTTTATATTGTTTTGTTAAAAATGAGGCAACAATAATCATTTTTTTGTCAGAAAACAAATGGTAATATTTTCAATGGTTTGTTCTGCATTGGATGTAGTTATGTTTTTCAGCATTGGAAAATGCTTGTTGATTTTTGATACAAATGAAGAAGAATTTATTTTATTTTTAATTAAAGTTATTTCTACTTCTGTTTTTATAATGTTATAAAAAACTTTATGTTTATAAAGTTTTTTATATTACTTTATAGGTTGCTAATGTTTTTATTTTCAATTAAAGTTATTTCTGCGTCTGTTTTTATAATGTTATAAAAAACTTTATGTTTATAAAGTTTTTTATATTACTTTATAGGTTGCTAATGTGAACTGGAACTATCGAGGTAATTACTTTATAGGTTGTTAATGTCACAATAAACTTGAGAGGTAAAAAAAAGTTGGTATTATTTTATAGGCAAGTAAATTTTGAAGAAGTTTGTTAATCTTCTTTTTGAATTTACCTTTAAATAATGTTTTTTTATGTTCCACCATTTTATCAAAAACAAAAAGGAAACGCTCAGCAAGAAACAAAGAGGAATTGCTAAGGACATTATATTATAATTATATCGAAGATAGGTATTTAATGTGCGGCTATAATGTTTTTTAAAACATTATTGTTGCATTTCTTTTACTTTTAAATTTAAAATCTGAATGTACCAAAAATAATTCAAACCTTATTCAAAATGAGTTTCAAAATTACATCATCTTTTAATTCAAAATGCTAACATATCATTTTTTTTAAACAAATTAGTAGCATTTTGAATCACCTGAATGGGTACATGAATCAACGTTGAACCTTTTGTTCTTCATTAGTAAAATAAATTTTTATTTAAAATTTATCAAACAATATTAACATAATAAAAAACACTAGCATTTTGTACCTGGGTCCAAAAAATACGGGTCTTGTTAAATCTACAACATCTTGGTAATTCTACACCGACTATTTGTATACCTTACTTTAATATTTTTTAGCAGTAGAAAAACTATACATATTGTCTACTTTTAAAAGTTATGAATAAAAAAATAATTTAAAACAACTTTAAAAAATTTTAAAAGCTTCGATAATTGTTGCGCAAACCGCTATTTAGTGGTAGAAAATAAAAATTTATCAAATCTTTGCTTTAAATTAACTATTATTGTTCAATACTTTATAACTCCTTATTGTAAAATTGTAAACTTCTTTAAAAAAACAGGTACAGACTTATAAATTTTTTTCTTTATTAAGTTTCTATTAAGTTTTATTAAATTTTTCTCTAGACCATCTACAGCTTATAAAGTACCCTGCCTCGTTATTTAATTTTGAAGAAAATAAAAGTTTGAATGTTAAATTTTTTTTCCCATAAAAAAAGTTGTCTCTTAAATGTGTTTTGAACGTATAGACTTAGCTAAATCTTTCACTTCATAAGTGAGAAGTTCTGAATTCGATCCCCACCATGTCCCTGGTAGTACTGCCCTCAGCTTGTTTCTTTGCGCAGCGGCCTTGTTTGTAAAGGTTCATGTTTCGGAGCTATAGAGTTAAGAGAGGGTTGTAACTAGTGATGTACCAATATCACTTTTTTGGGCAATACCGATGCAGATGAATTAGAAAAGGCCAATACCGATGTCGATACTGATGAATTTAATAATTATTAAACATTTAAAAATATAAAACCATACAACTTTAAATTGTCTCTTTCATTGCTCTATAACTCTACTCTTTTTTTCTAGCAGCTCCCAACTTGATAGTGGTTGCTTGAAGCCTTATTGGGAGTAAAAAAGGAATTAAAAAAATATAGATAAAAATGCTTAAATAGGTTACTTTTGCCTGTAAACAAAATAAAAATAAAAATTTATCCAAAATATTCTAAGTAATGCACAAAGATTAGTTTATTTATTATTTAATTATTATAATAATGCAGGATAAAAATATTAAAATGCCATCAGTTGGAAAATTGGTAAAAAAGACCGATGCTGATACCGATTCGGATTGTGCAAAAAATGGCCGATTAAGCCGATGCTGAAGCCGATTAATCGGTACATCACTAGTTGTAATTACAATTAAAGCAGCCTCCTTGACTCCAATTAAAGCAGCGTCCTCCTGAAGTGGCCTTCTCTGCCTTATGGAAGTGAATTAACATAAAAAAAATTACCTAAGCAGATTAATAACTTAAGTATCTCTATCGTGATGTATGCACAAAAAATTTCTACTGCTTTTTTGATGTTTATTGCAATTTTAAGCTTTTTAAAAACTCTCCCTTTTGTTTGTTATAGTATACTATATTTTCACATATATCAACAATAGAACTTTAAAAATGTTTTAATTTGTAATTTGTAATAGTATGCAAGCAGGGTTGGCAAAAAAACCCAAAAAAACCCAATAAAACCCAAAAAAACACAAAATATATATATTTTTTTAAAATGTCCTATTTTACAACTGATAACTCTGATTTTAACACTTATAAATGCTTTATTATCAGCAAGTACAACCTTTATACTGTAATTACTCTTGTAAACACTGTATTTATATACATAATGGTATTTAGAATATACCCAAAACCGATCAATCTGTTTTTGTAGCAAGTTGCTTATTTATTATTTTTTTAAAACATTTAGCAAGTTATTATAAATGTTATTGAAATATGTATTAAAACATTAAATTAGTTGAATACTTATAAAGGAAATAAAAATAATTATATCAACTAAATTTCAAGACATTACTAGTTATTTAGTATCTTTATTCTCCTCTCGAATGTCTATATTCCTTTATATTGGTATTTGATCTTTTATTTTTTAAAGCTTATGTTGTAAACTGCAAATTTCAGTACAAAGCCACAAGCAAAATAATATATATAAAAATTATTGAACTTTATTTACAGTTTAGAAATGGAGAGTTGTCAGGCAAAAAAAAAAAAATGCTTCAGTTTACTAGATTTGTTCTTAAGTGCATACAACTTTAAAACTTAAAAACACACACAATAGAGCTATATAATGTGTTACCTTGATTCAGTTTGCAATTTGCATTGCAAAACTGAGCCGGTAAAACATCTTCAAGGAAAAAAAAAAAAACTTGGTGGCGAAGACACTGTAATGGTTCTTAACAAATTTATTTTTATGGAGTCCCTTTTTGCACTATAGGTAAAATGTACTAGTAGACAAGTAGTAAAACATTTGGCTTGCAACCAGAAGGTTGGGGTTCAAATTACCTCTGCTGAAATTACTGTGCTCAATCTATTTCTCCGCACAGCGCCTTTGTTTAAAAATTTTAGTTGTTAATGTTGTTTGTTAGTAAAAATGGTAATGTTAAGGATTGAGACAAAATATTTTTAAAAAATGAGTTGCTCCCTTGACTGAAGTGGTCATTGGAGCAATAGGGAGGTGAAATTATGAAGTTAAAAAAAAAATTTTTGTACTCATACAATTATAAAAATTTGGTATTTTGATTGGTTTTTAAAAAAACCCAAAAAAACCCAACAAAACCCAAAAAAACCCATTTATGTTGGGTTTTTTTAAAAAACCCTGGGTTTTTTCCAACCCTGTATGCAAGTGACAGGATTTTTACAATCATGTTGTACTTTGGAAGCACAGCAAGCTAAACACTTTAGCCACTAAGACACACTAATCTGCCAATTTTTAACACTATTTAAAAAACAAAAGACAGAATAACTTTGTAAAATGGCAAAAATCAAAATTAAGTAGATTTTGTTGGAATTTGTAAATAAAAGTAAAAATTTATAAAAGTAAAAATATCTACCGAACTTCAAAATTGTTTCATTTTTTATTTTAAAAAATTGAAAAAAATACAAAAAAAATGCAGAAAAGCAAGGATTTGAACCACAACATTTCACTTCATAATGCTGTGATCTAACCACTTCAGCCACTAAGGCGTATTCTTCAATGAAAGTTTTAAAACTATTTAATAAACAAATGACTTTTAAAACAGCAAATAAATGCTATAAATCAAAATTAAGGAGATGTCGCAATTCAATTTAAGGTAAAATTAAAACTGTAAAACTTGATATATGTTTTAACATTACATAATTTAAAGTTTACATAAGTTATATATTTTCATACACTTTTGTTCACATTTTCTGATACAAAATGTGGTTTCACTCTTTCTTGCCATTAACTCATGTGTATTAGTTGCTGTGACTTCCGTGTCAAACACTCACCAATGAGAAACGGCAGCACCAGCATTAAATTCAGTACTAAAATATTATAGAATTATGCGCGTGGAAATTTTTTTTCAAATAGAACTTCTAGTAAATTAAATTACTTTAAAAACACAACATTCTTTCACAACAATCATCATAAACATTCTTTCACAACAACCATCATAAACATTCTTTCAAAACAATCATCATAAACATTCTTTCACAACAATCATCATGAACATTCTTTCACAACAATCATCATAAACATTCTTTCACAACAATCATCATAAACATTCTTTCACAACAATCATCATAAACATTCTTTCACAACAATCATCATAAACATTCTTTGAACTAATTTCAATTTGATCTAATTTAAAATCAAAAATAACAAAAAAATTATTCTTTTTATAAAAAGTTTCTTTCAGTTTTGGCTTTTAAATTTTTAAAAACTCCGCTAATTCCTAATCCTCAATTTTACTTTTTTTAAAAACTCCATTATTTCCTAATCCTCAATTTTACTTTTTTTTATTTATAGTTTATTTTGAATTAAACAATCAATCATATGTCATTTTTTTTCTTTAGTTATTTCACCTGAGAAAAAGTACCCCAAAATTAAATAATACTAGACTACTGATTATCATAGCAGACAACTCAAGTAAGACATATAGCAATATTTCAGTCACCTTTAGGGTGACCAGGAAAAAACCTGAGGTTCTAAGTGTACTAAGTGATAAACTATTTGATAAAACACTCTAAAAAACATTGTCTTAAAACAACACAAGCTTTTGTGTTTTGAAACACAAAACTTTTGTCATATATGCACAACACAAGATGGTTTTAATTCTACATAATGCCTTGTGTTAAACAAACTACAAACTTTGTGTAGGAGTCCACGAAGCTTGTTGTTTGTTGTACACAATCTTGTGTATGCTTGTTGTTTAATTATACATAATCTTGTGTTTAATTATAAAGCATTTTTTTTGTTTATAAAGCAAACTAAAATCTTTAAATGATGGATCAAAGATTGTTGCAAAAACTTCTATAAAATATCTGTTTAATAAAGTTGGTAAATTTATGTATAATTAATAATAATGTTTAAAGGAATTAATTTTTTATAAGCTTCATTATGCTTCATTAAATGAATTAATAAAAATCTTCATTCTAATTACGAACTTTCCCTAATTAGAATGAAGATTTTTATTTAAAAGTAGGTATGCAGGTATAAAGAGAGAGTACAAGTGGAGAAGGGGTCTTAACTTAGTGATTTTACTGTGTACATACATATGGATGCCCCCTTAACGCAATTAACATTTAAATAAAAAATTAAATGTTGAAATTCACAGCTAACTTTTTTTTTCTTTGACTAGAATTTTGTTTGGATTTCATTGACCTCATGTTGTTCTTACAATTGCTAGAACAATTGACCACACTAGTTAATACAATTGATCACACTAGTTAATACCAGGGGTGTGCAGTCGTAAAAAAAAAAGTAACAACTCCGACTCCAGTTGTTGAAATTTTTTGAGTACAACTCCGACTCCAGTTGTTGAAATTTTTTGAGCACAACTCCGACTCCAACTGCAAAGCAAAGTTTTTAAAAAAACTCTTTGAATTCCTTAAAGAATATTATGTGATAATTTAAAAATTTCTTTTTTAACAAGTTTATGAAACATTCTTTGAGGTTTAGTATGAACATAAGGTTAATTGAATTTTTTGTACATGTACGTGCAATACCGAGAAGTTTTACTATTGGAGTCGGAGTCGCGATTTTGTTTCGTGACTCCGACTTCAACCCTGCTAAAAAAGTTGCAACCTTAACTCCGACTCCACAGCCTTGGTTAATACAATTGATAACACTAGCTAATACAATTGACCACACTATTTAATACAATTGACTAATCACTAGTTAATAAAAATAGTGATTAGTTACATAGCTATTTTTATGAGAGAAATCACTAAATAAAATTTTACATCATTTTTAGTGGTATCACAATTATACTGTTTTTTAGTAAAGTATTCTTACTCGTAAAGGTTCTGGTTTAGAAGTCATGCAGTTACTATCTCTAATAAAAAAATTCTAAAAGTAGCTTATAGTTGTATTTGTATTTGAAAAATCAACATTTGATTAATCATTTTTATTCTTTTTTTAGGTGCAGAGGATATAGTAAAAGTAGAAGTGTGGGATATTGTCGATAAAAGTAGGTACCATATTTGTTGATATATAAAAGTAGGTACCATATTTGTTGATATAAGTAGTTTCATTAAATTTGTCATAGAAATATCCTTTATAGCTATTTACATTTTATTACCTTTATAGATATTTACTTATTTTTGTTTACTTATTTTATTTTGAACAAAAAGAATTTTATATCAATAACTAATATGTCAATGCAACATGTATGCAACTGTACTAGTGTTAAATATGTCATCGCAAACATGTATGCAACTGTACTAGTGTTAAATATGTCAATGCAAACACGTATGCAACTGTACTAGTGTTAAATATGTCAACGCAAACTTGTATGCAACTGTACTAGTGTTAAATATGTCAATGCAAACACGTATGCAACTGTACTAGTGTTAAATATGTCAACGCAAACTTGTATGCAACTGTACTAGTGTTAAATAGTACTTATAAACATTTTGAATTTTATAAGTTTTTAGTATTTTCATTATTAATAATAAATATTTTCCTTTATTTAAAATATGTTTAACTATAACTTAAAACTTGAGGACTTAAATTAATCAAATGGTTAAAAAACAGTAATACTGAAAGTTAAATTCTTTATTTTTATTCTTCTTGCGAAATCTTGATTCGATTCCTAATAAAATCTTTGAAGTTTCAAAATAATTAATATTGTTAACAAACTGCAGTTAGAGGTCTTCAAATAACTTAAAATTAATATTGTTAACAAACTGCAGGTAGAGGTCATCAAATAACTTGATTGCACTCTATTCTTGATCACGCATATAATATTTAGTTGCTACAACTTGGTCACAACTTTATAGATAATTTGAGAATGCCCAAAAAAAAAAAAAGGGGCAAAAAAAGCTAAGCTTAACTGGCCTTAGACAATTATAAAAAGAAATTGTTTTAAAAAAGAAAAGACGTGCCTTTGCATGAGAAAAACTAGTTGAACAAAAAAATAAAAAAGTCAAGAGAAGAAATAAATTATTTTATATTTTAAAAAGCTGGAAGCATAATAAATATTTTACAACATATGAACATACATCAATCATACTATCAATCATATTATTTTCTCTATATTCTATATTTCTTTATTATTCAGAAACATCACTAAAAAAATTATCACACATTTTATTCTTTATTTATGATATACCCGTCTGATTTCAATTTATATGTCTGATTTATATTTATATCTATAATGTTCTTGCATTTATTTAAAAATTTTGCTCTTTTATTTTCTCAACAAATAATAAAATCTCAAATAAACGTAACAATAAACCTAATATTAATAAAGTAATAATAGTAAGTAACAACTTACTATTAATGATAACTTGTTTTAATAACTTGTTTTTCCGCGGAGGGGCCTTTTTGTCAAGGTTTGTGTGTTGTAGTTATAGAGTTGAGAGAGGGTTATAACTACAATTGAGTAGTCTCCTTGTCTGTAGTGGTCTTTTCAGCCTTGGAGAGATAGTTTTTTATAAAAAATCAAAAATAAGAAAAGAAACGTTCTTCAATTGATCAAAAAGTATAATACAGCTTCTTTTATTTATGTTTTATTTCAACAAGATTGTAATCAAGTTTTTAATAAATAAAAAAATAATATATTTTTTAATAACCAATTCATGCTACGCAAAGTTTAAAATATTTAAAACAATGAGAAAATTGCATAGCTCATTGCTTGAGAAGCCGTGTTTTATCTATGAATGAGTCAAGTTCTCTTAAAACTTAAATCATGCCAAAAGTAACCCAAAATATTAATCATAAAAAACCATCCCATATTCGGGGTCTGCAACCTTCTATTAGTTGAATCTTAATCTTTTCTCAATCTCTTACTCAGATAGTTAACTTTGTGGCTTGTTTTCCTAACAACCCTAATCATTTACCTTCACTTCTTGATTTATGTCTGGTCTCTGATCCTAGCTTGTGTTTATCTGTTCTTTTTTTTTCCTTTAGATGGTTCTGACCATGTAATAATCTCTTTAAATCTTTCATCTCATACTTCCTTTTCGAACTCACCTTATCATTGTATTACTTGCTATTACCTTAAAGCTGACTGGGATTTTTTTCATGATTTTTTTTGTGATGGTCCTTGGGCTGATGTCTTTTCTTTCTCAGCTGAAAAATGTGCCTCTTATGTAACCTCCTGGATTCAGGCAGGAATAAAAGCTTTTATTTTTTCTTGTTTGTTCCTCGTCAAGCCTCTTTTTATTCCATGGTTTTCACCCTCTTGTGTAGCTGCTATATCTAATCATAATCATTTTTTTCATTTTTTTCAAAAGAACAACTCGTTTGAGAACAAACAGCTATTTATTATTGCAAGAAATTGATGTAAAAAGGTGCTGTCAAATGCTAAGCTCCATTATTCTCAGTTCACTAAATCTCAGAAGTTAGGTTCTAGAGACTTTTGGTCTCTAGAACCTAACTTTAACAGCGTCCTCAACAAAGTTAGATCTAACATTTCATCTCTCATTCATGGGACTGATCTTATTACCTCTCCCAAGGATAAGGCAGAACTATTTTCAAAAAACCTGTCATAATCTTACTAAATTCTTCTCCAGAACTCTCTTCAATTCTCTCTAATCTATTTAATAAGTGCTTGACTGAGTCTTGTTTTCCTGCCTGCTGCAAAATGGCATCTGTTCCAATTTTAAAAAACTCAGGTGAACATTCTGACTCCTCCAATTATTGTCCGGTCAGTCTTCTTTCTGTTATTAGTAAGGTCTTTGTGTCTTTGATAAACAAATTTCTCACATCCCATCTTGAGTCAAATAGCTTGCTGTCAGATAATCAATACATCTTTCGATCCTCTTGCTCTACAGCTGACTTGCTAACTGCTGTGATTGAAAGATTTTATTGTGCATTAGATATAGGTGGAAAGGCTAGGGCTATTGCTCTTGACATATGAGTTTGGCATGCTGGTCTTCTCCATAAGCTTGTTTCATATGGTGTATCTGGGAAAGTTTTTGAGATTATGAAATCGTTTTTTTCTAACCACTTTATTAAAGTCATCCTCGAAGGCCAACACTCTTTATTTTCAGTAACTTCTGGGGCACTTCAAGGTTCTAACCTTGGTCCTGTTTTGTTACTTATCTACATTAATGATTTTCCTAATAACCTTACATCTAAAATAGCTTTTTTTGCTGATGAATCAACTTTATACTCCTTTCTTGACAAAAAGTCTTCTCTTTTCGATCGCTTAGAACAGGCAACCGATCTTGATTCCGATCTCACTTATGTAACAGATTGGGGCTCACAGTAAATTGTAAATTCCTTTATCAATAAATAGCAACCCTCTTACTGAGTCGTCTTTTTTATGTCTTCTTGGATTATTGTTTACTACTAATCTTTCGTGGAAACTATATATACAATCGATTGCTAAATTAGTATATGCTAAGGTTGCTTCTCTTTATCATGCTTGCCATTTTCTATCTCCTGATTTCATTCTCTACCTCTACAAATCTCTTATTCATCCCTGTATGGAATACTGTTGTCATATTTGGGCTGGTTCTTCTAATGATGCTCTTTCTCTTCTAGACAAGATTCAAAAAAGTATTGTAACCATAGTTGGACTCGCTCTATCTGCTAAGCTTGAGCCTCTTTCCCATTGTCATAAAGTTGCATCTCTTTCTCTTTTCTACCAATACTATCATGGCTACTGCTCAAAAGAGCTATTATCTCTTGTTCCATTAACCACAACTCATTCTCACTTGACTTGTCATTCAGCTAAGTCTCATTTTTTCATTGTATTTATCTCTGTATGCTCTAAAAACTTTTATTTGTCTAGTTTTTTTTCCCGCACTTCAACCCTTTGGAACTCTCTTCCATCGTGTTTTTCTGATTTATACAACCTTCAATTTTTTAAGTCTTCTGTCAACCGTTTCCTTGCTCTATAACTCATGTTGAGAGTGAATCAGAATAAAAAAAAAGTTAAAAAAAAATTCTTTTTAGTAAGATGAACAAATGAAATAACTAAATCATTGAGTTACTATGGAAATATTAAAACAATCTTTTTTTTTAGTTCTTAAAATGTTTTAAAAAACTCGGCAATGCGCTAGACTCCTGAATCAGCAGTCTATAGGGTATTTAAACTGCAAACTAAGTATACATTTAATGTTATATTTTACTAAATTAAATCAGTTTATTATACTGTAATATAATATTATAATATAATTTATTATAAATAATATATTAGGGGCATATTACTTTGTAAGGGAATTATAATTTTATTTTGCATTTTGCAATCTAAAAGCAAGTTTTTTATTGCATCAAATTATTTGAAAGCAAACTTTTATGGTTCAACTAAAAAGGTAAATATAATTTATAAAGAAGAAGTGGAACTGCTTCACAATACTGCTGATGATATTTAGTGAGTGGGATTTTTAATATTTGAATGTTTGTGTTCTGTTTGGACCTATAGCACGGAGTTGGTTTATCCATAATTCACTTTATATATTTGTATGTTTGTAATCTGTATGGACCTCTGCCACATTCTGGTTGACTCATAAGTCACTTTATATAAATGTATGTTTGTTTTTTGTTCGAACCTCTGGCATAGTGTTTATCTACTAGTAATTTACTATGTATAAATGTATGTTTGTGTTCAGTCACCTGTAAGTTGCTGTATGTTTATTTGATTATTAGTTTTATTAACTTTAATGATTAATTATAAAATTTCATTAAAAACGCAATTGTTGAAAGTATTGTTTTTATATAAATCAGTTGTACAAATTGTTTTAAAAGATTTATATTTAGCATAGAAAATACATACTTTTAAAATAATAAAAATTAGTCTGTATTTGTATAATTTACTAAACTTTATATAAATTTTAATAAAACTTTCTATATATAATTTAAAAAAAAAAAAAAATAATTTTCTTTTTATAAACAATCAATCGTAGCTTGAAGATATTTCTTGAAGAAATTGATTTTTTATTACTATTGCGAGATTAAACATTCTTGAAGGAGAAAAAAAAGAGCTACAACTACCAGTCAAATATTTAAGTACTTCTCTTATTAAGTGAAATAGTTATAACTTTCAGTAAAAAAAAACGTTTTTTAGGAAATTTTTGGGTTTAAACACTTGCAAAAGTTCTAGTTTTTTTTATCTATTATCACATCCAAATAAAGGACGTTTTTTAATTTTATTTGAAGCAAACCGACGGATTGAAGCAAACCTACTGAGCAAAATCCTAAAGATGATCCAATATTAAAATATTAATATATTATTAAAAGTCTTAAATTCTTTATAAACAAAAAAATGTATAGAAATTTTTTTTAAAACACAAGAGGAAGAATTCTGTTGCCATATCTGGAGCGGATAAATAATCTTCGAATAAAATCCTTTCTCTTTTTGATAAGGTGCAAAAACGTATTGTAAACATAGTTGGACCTACTCTTGCAGCCAACCTTTAACCATTGTCACATCGTCATAATTTTGCTTCTCTTTCTTTTTTTTATAAATAATACAATGGCCGCTGCTCTAAAGAACTAGCGTCTCTTAAGCCACCTACTAAAATTCATTCTATGTTACTCCTCATTCAATCAAGTTTTTTACTGTGACTATTCCTAAGTGCTCCAAAAATTCTTCTTTTTCTAATTTTTTTTCTCAAACATCAGTTCTTTGGAATTCATTTCCTTCTTGTTTTCCTGATTCATATAGTTTGCAATATTTTAAGTCGTCTGTTAATTGTTATCTTGCTTTATAAACTTCTTTATAAAGCAAGATAACGAAAGCAATCTTTTCTTTTCCACTAACTTCCAATTCCAATAGTGGTTGCTTGCAGCCTTGTTTGGAAGTGAAGATGTTAAAAAAAGAAAAAGTAGTTGTATTAAATAAAATAAATTTTTTGTTTAATTCATTTCGTTTAATACCCAAGTTATAGATTGTCAAAAAGCGTTTTGGTAATATAGAAACATTTGATTACAAAAGATTAATGTTACAAAGTTAATTCTTTAAGCATGTTAAAACACAATTTTTCAGATATACATAGAAACATATATAAAGTTGAATGTTCTCAAAACAATTAAAAAGCCATGGTCAAGTTGTCACAGCTAATTATAATATGCGTGGTCAAGTTGTCACAGCTAATTATAATATGCGTGGTCAGGATTAAAGTTTTTTTTTTTTTTTTTTTTTATAATTTTAATTCACCTCCTCAAGGCCGAGAAGGCCACTACAGACGAGGAGGCTACTTATTTGTGGCTATAACCCTCTCTCAACTCTATAACTCCGAAACACGAACCTTGACGAACAAGGCCGCTGCGCGGAGAAACGAGTTGAGCGCGGTACTACCAGGGACGTGGTGGGGATCGAACTCGGAACCACTCGTTTATGAAGCGAGCGCTCTACCACTACACCACTACCGCAATAAAAGTGCAATAGCACCCATTTCCTGACCATCCCTGATCTTATTTTTAAGAACAAAATTATCTTTTTAAACTTTTATGCATATAAAGATTTTATTTATTTAAAAAGTTGTTTAAAAGTGATGCATATATGTATTAGAAAAGTAGATATTTTTAAGTGATGTATAGATGTATTTGACTTTTAAACATAAGCTAAAGTGCTAAAATTATAATAACTATAAAAATTTAATATATAATGACCAATAATAAAATAATGACCATTGTTAATTTAAAATTTTTTTACATGTACATAAAGCATGGAAATAGCACAATTTATATGCTTCATTTAATGAAGTAACTATGCCATATTTATCCATAAATGAGTTTTTAAACAATTTGCATCATTTATAGAAATTTGTGTAATACAAATTTGACCAGTATGTAGATGTTTATTGTTTATTAAAAATAACTTGATAATCTTATTTTATTTACTAAAAAAAAAATAAACTTGTCAGGAACACTATAAATTTGAAATTTATTTTAGGTCAAAAAAGAAAAAATCCATCTGACGGATTGAAAATTCAAAATGAGGTTTGTGACAATGTAAACTCTTACTTAATAATCCAGTTATAAAATCACTTGTTGTATTCAATGTACACCTTTTCAAGATGTAATTGAGAAAACAAAAATTGTAATTAAGAATCGTAAGATGTAATTGAGAAAACAAAAGTTGTAATTAAGAGACGTAAGATGTAATTGAGAAAACGTAAGTTTTAATTAAGAAACATAAGATGTAATTTAGAAAACGAAAATTGTAATTAAGAATTGTAACATGTAATTGAGAAAATGTTAGTTGTAATTAAGAAATAGAAAGATGTAATTGAGAACACGAAAATTTTAATTTAGATATCGCTTTAAAGGAGTAAGTGTAAAATGGCGCTTAAAAAAAATGGCGTGTAAAAAAATGGCGTGTAAAAAAATGGAGCGTATAAAATGACGCACTTAAAAATGACGCAAGATTTGTAGCGTAAATTTAATTTTTTAGGGAAAAATTTAGGGAAAAATTTATAATTTTTGGGCAAATGAATTTAACATAGTAAACACTAAAAACATTTTAGGGAAAAATTTATAATTCAATTAAAAATTATAATTAAAAATTATATAATTAAAAATCACTTCATTGATCATTTAAGCACCAACTTGAACGTCTTCCATATTTAAAATAGTTGCATAGTGCGTGGTTGTGTGTTGTACCGCACGTGCACAATCTCCTCCCATTATAGTATTTTTCGCCTCAATTACAATTCGTTCTAAGTACTACATGCGCTGTTCCGCAATCCCGTCACCTAATACAGGTGGAATGCGAATTGCATTTTTAACGTTACTTTTAATTTTGGACCAGATCGTTTCCACCGGGTTCAACATTGGACTGTAAGGTCCCAAACGTAACAACTGAGCTGGTGAATTATCAAACACCCTTTGCAAACGAGCGTGACAAGGAGCATTATCTGTTACGACGACCAAATCCTCCAAACGGTTCCCGGATGTAACCCACTGGTGAAACATAGCCAACATCCACTCGTTACAGGAATCTGCTTTAAATGATCCCCTGCGAGTTTCTATCATGACGACATTTGTAATTGAAATAGCTGCGATCAAGTGTATGTTTAAACCTTTTGAAGCAGGTACTTTCATAATTTCTACAAAAAAGGTTAAAATTTGTTTCATCCAACCAAACTATCTGACGACTATTTGTGATATGTTCGTTGATGTTTCTAACATATTCAGCTCTTTTTTGTTTGTTTTCATAACTGTTCATTGTAGAAGGCTCCTTGTGCACTTTTTTTAATGAGAACAATCTGCCTTCGAGGTAATTTGCTATTGTTGTTGTGCTAACGTTTATGTTAAATTGTCTTAATATCTTTGTTTTGATGGCCACCAATGTTAATTGACAATCACTTTCAATCCATGTTAATGTTTCTTCGATTTGATCTTCGGTCAACTTTTTCGGTTTAAAACCTCCTTTTCCGATGAAATTTGAATTTCCGCTGCGAACCTAATTGTATGCTGTCTTATATTTGATACCTAGCGTTTGCGCGAGATTCACCCAATCTTCAAATCGCTCCGCACATTCAACAACTTTTCTCCTGTCATTTGGAGAAGATAAAACGTAACGTTTCCTTTCAACTTGTTCAGTTGTGTGTATTTCATGCCGACAAATCGGACAACTTGAATCCAGAACTGGACGTAAACAAATTTGGTGACATAAATGTTGACACGGATTTAGCTTAATCACAGACTTTCGGGTCATAGTGTATTGGCATATAACACAACGATCTTTCAATTCCATTATTATTACTTGTGCATACAAAAGCAAAATTTAAGAATATAACTTAAATTCATGTCCAAAAAGACCTTTTGTAACAAACTACAAACTTAGACTGTGAATTTGCTATTTTAATTTATGTGTTCTCAATTACAAGTTACGATTTCTCAATTACATATTATGATTTCTCAATTATATCTTACGTTTTCTCAATTACATGTTGTGTTTCTTAATTACATGTTACGACTTCTTATTTACATGTTGTGTTTCTCAATTACATATAACGTTTTCTCAATTACATGTTGTGTTTCTTAATTACATATTACGACTTCTTAATTACAACTTTCATGTTCTCATTTACATCTTGAAAAGGTGTAGACAGTTGTTTGTAGGTAGGCAAAAGTAGCTGTATTCACAGAGATTTTTTTTTTTGGTAGAAAGACATACAGGTTTAGCCAAATATTATTAATTTTTTTATCATCTATGCAACTCAAGCAATTCCAAATCTATAAGATTTTTAATTATAAGATTCGGAGAAAATCTATAAGAATAATACTTTTTAGAGAAATATTTCTCTCAGATACAGCATATCTATGCGGTTGTTTAAAATTTCAAGCAAAAAGGTAAGTAGTATAGTGTTATATAGACAGTGTTATTACTTTAAAAAATGCTTAAGCTGAGAAAAACAGTTTCATTTTTAGAAAGTTGCTAAAATATACTTTCAGTTAAAAAATTTATAAAAAGTTTACAGAACACTCCTTGTTACAGACTCAAGAATATATACATATACGATAAACTGCTCCAAAAATTAGTTGTTTTAATAAAGCTAAATATAAAATAGACATGGTAACTAATCATATCATATTAACAATAGTTTTTAAACTACCTAATATAATCATGTCATATTGATAAAAGTTTTTAAATTAACTAATATAGTCATGTCATATTAATAAGAGTTTAAATTATTTAAAGATAAAATCATCTAACCTCAGTTATTACCCAATTTCTGCTGGTTCTTCTTTTTGTGGTTCAGACCATGATCTCACTAAAAATTTTATCTTTTTATACATCAGAAAAAAGGTTAATTGATTGTTAGATCCTAATCACTTGGGATTGTGACATCCTTATCACTTGGGCTTGTGTGGCTATAATTATTTAAACTACAAATTAATTTTAATTATTTCTACAAACTGTTGTTCTAATAGTATTCAAGTTAAATTATTACAAAAGCGTTCCCCAAAACTCTCTTTAATATTTTCTAAATTTTTAATAAGGTCTTAACTGAATCTTGTTTTCCTGCCCTCTGAAAAGATTATTGTGACCCTTTTAACTATTGATCTCTTCAAATAGCTGACCTTGAAAGCAGGCTCAGACAGGATTCCTGACCACACATATAATTTTTATGATGTTTTTGATAATTCACAGCTGTTTAGCTCTTTTGATTTGTTTATTATTTATTTAAACATTTAGAAAATGCGCAGGGAAAAAATAAAAAAAAGAAATAAAAAAGAAATTTTTAATGAAAGAGAAAATATAAAAATAATTAAAATAAAACTCAAAAAACTAAAATTTGAAGTTAAAATGATTTTAAGTTTGTGTGAAATAAATAACTTTAAAACCTTGATCTTTTGTTATGTTTTTTAAGCCCTTAACATAATTTAAAACGATTTTTTTCAACGCATTTCTTGAATATTTAAATTGTCAAAACATCTAAAAAGCTGCAGTCAAATTGTAAAAATAAGTATTATATACATGGATGCACAAAAGGCTTTTACGTCAAGTAAAAAATTATATTTAATGTTTAATAATAAATAAACAAATTAAATTTAAATTATTAAAGAGTATGCATAACATTTTTTATTTACACAAATATTTTAATGTTATTTAAATTGTTTTTTATTTACACAAATATGTATATTTTAATATGTCATTTAAGTTGTTTTTTATTTTCACAAATATGTATATTTTAATGTCATTTAAGTTGTTTTTTATTTACACAAATATGTATATTTTAATATGTCATTTAAGTTGTTTTTTATTTTCACAAATATGTATATTTTAATGTCATTTAAGTTGTTTTTTATTTACACAAATATGTATATTTTAATATGTCATTTAAGTTGTTTTGACAACTCGGCCACGTCTCAAGTTAGCAAATAAAAAATGCGCTGAATAAACAAATACTAATAAACAATACTAAATAAACAAACATAAACAAGAAATAAAAATCTTAACGAATAAAAAATAAGCAAGAAAAAATGCAAGCATAAATTTAATATTTTTATAATATAACAAATATTATTTTTTTAAAATTAATATATGTTTTTATTTTAATTTAAAACTGTTTCACTTCAAAAAAATTATTAAAAATCGAAGTTTCAAAGTCATTTAATCCAAGTTTAATTACTTCAAAGCCTAATTATTTAAAAGTTTAAAAATTTGATATTTATTAATGTGTACAAAGCAAATGAAATTAAAAAAAAAATCAGTTAGCAGTTGTTCTTTATAAATGACACAATTAACCAACCTAGGTGCTACATTAATGTGACGATATAGGAAAAATTATAGCTTTAAACTATTAATTTAAACACTTTTAAATTAATTAAGTTTGGACTATTAATTTAGAAGCTTCTAAATTTAAAAATATATTTGATTTATGCATTAGTTTTCTCTCATTTATCCTTTATTTATTTTATCATTCAGTAAGTCTGTTTCTCTTTTCAGTTTATGGTTTGTTTATTTTTATTTTTCTCTTTAAATTAGTTTGGTTTTTTCAGCACATTTTTAAAAAGATGCATATTATCAATATACACTAAAAACCGTCACCAGGTTGTCAAAAAAAAAATTGTATGCATGATCATATAAGGCATGCGACTGCACGTGTCTCCTGAAAAGGCTTGATAATCTCTTAGTATTGTTCAGTATTATTGAAATAAAATGTGCCTACTGCAAATAATCTTTGGAATCATCCATAAATTACATAACACGAAATTTAACAAAAGATAAAGGATTAAACGTTTTGCCTTACAGAGTCTTTAATTAAACCAAGAATATAAACAACCCATTAAATCCAGCAAAATCACAGCAAAAAAGAGCAAAATGATGTTCTACTTACATTAAAAAAAAAAGTTTTGCATTGCGTAATTTATGGACGATCCCTTTACAGGCAATTCGTCATTTTATAGAAAAGTGTTTCACACAAAAAATTTTGAAAATATTACAAAAAAAGTTTCAAACTATTTTATCATTTTATTATCTGTTTACATCTCAATTGCAATTTAAAGTAACTTTATTCATTAATTTAAATATAAAAAACTTTTTAAAGTATATTAAATTTATCATAAAAAATACACGCTTAAAAAAATTGTTATATATAATATTATTAGGTAATTTTAAAAAAATGTGTTTATTTTAAACAATTATCGGAAGTAATTTGTTACTATTTTTTAAAAAGCATTCATTCAAGTTATTCCTTAACGTTTTTTTAAACAATTTTTTTCAGTGCATTTCTTAAAAATTTAAATTGTCAAAACATCTAAACGCCATTGTCAAATTGTAAAAAAAAGTGTTTTTTGCATGGTTAGGAGTAGTGTGCAATACGCCATTCCTGACCTAGCCTGTGAATGTGGTCTTTCCTATGTGACATCTTGCGGCTTGCGTGGCTGGTGAATTTTAATCCAAACAAAACTCAAATGTTATTTACTGCTTTTAATTATCATATTGTTGGTACTCCTATTCTGATTGGTTCATATTGTTGTTGGTATTCCTATTCTGATGGCAACATCTATATTGAGTTCTATAATTTGTTTTTTTTAAGTTATCATTCTAAACTTAGCTCTTATGGAAACCATATGTTGTTGTTAAAAATTATTATTTTGTTAATAAGTTAATGCATAATAGATGTATTTAAAAAATATGTTTATATTGATTGGAGAGAAAGTTATAGATCATTGTTTGAATCATAATTATGTACAAATGTTGTAAAGATTTTTAAAGGTTATTGGTTTGCACTATTTCTTTTACTTATTAATATTTTTTGTGTGTATTAGACTGCAAATCCAGCTGATAGTATGGTGTTAGATGCTGAGTTTATCAACGTATATAAAGGAACACATGGAGTGATAATAATTTTAGATATTACAAAAGCATGGTAAAAATTTTTATGAAGTTTAAAATTTTTTCCCTTTTATTGAGTAAAAGTATATAATAATAACAGTTAAGTTTAACTTTAGTTGGTGTGGGTGGGTGTTAAATTTAATGATCAGTGGGTGTTAAATTTAATGATCAGTGGGTGTTAAATTTAATGATCAGTGAGTGTTAAATTTAATGATCAGTTGGTGTTAAATTTAATGATCAGTGGGTGTTAAATTTAAAACTTTAATGATCAGTGGGTGTTAAATTTAAAACCATATATAATATATATCTTTATCTAGGACTTGGCAGTATACTCAGAGAGAACTAGATAAAATACCTGCACATATAGCTGTTCTTATACTGGTTAGTCTATTTGAATATTTTTAATGTTGTATTTATTTTCATATAAAGTTTAATCTTTAACTAAGTCATTCACAGTTCTATTTTGTATTACCCATAGACAATTAGTAATTTTTGAAATCACAAACACATTAAAAATTTATTAAATGATGTTATGGAAAATATATAATATCTTATGCCCCATAAGATGTTAAATTTATAAAAATCCTTTGTAATATTATCCTAAATTTTTTATGCAGTTTCATCTTAAATAATTTCCCAAACAAATTGCCTGGAACATTGTCTGCAACATTAAAATTGATTGTATTGATGGTTGCATCTTTTTCATCATTTTAAATCTTTTTATCATTTTATTCTCCTAAACATTATGACATTATGATATTTTTGTTCAATAATTTACCTATCTTCAGTCTCTTTGATAGTTTACCCAACCATCTTCAACATTTTACTTAACTATGCTCTCTTTAACCAATTTACTCAACTACAGCTTTTTAAACAATTAACCTAACCATTTTTTTTTTTAAACATTTTACCCAACCACAACCATTTTCTTAAACATTTTACCCAAGCTTTTCTTAAACAGATTGTATTATTAACCTTGATCTCAGAGAAAGTTCTGTGGTGGCACTTATGTAGATATCTTTAAGTAGAGTCTTTTTAAGTTTTTTTCACTAGCTTTTCATAGGATTTTTTTTCACTAGCTTTTCATGGGATTTTTTTTCAATAGCTTTTTATGGGATTTTTTTTACTAGCTTTTTATGGGATTTTTTTAAAACTCAAATATTAAAAATGAAAAGCATAGTAAAAAAACTGAGGCGCTACTTTACTTGATTGTTCAAACTTTATTTCTTCATATTTTTGCAAATGTTGTGTTTGTTGAGACTTTTGATTTTGAGGTTGTTGTACAGATAGTTGTATTGTTTAATATCTTTGTATTAAAATTTTTTTTTTTTTGTAAATCTTAACTTTGCTTAAACTCTTGTTATGATATCTTGCTATGTCTTCATAAATGTCAATAAGAAAAAAAAAAAAGTAACATGTCTCCATAAATGTCAAATTGAAAAAAGAAAATATAATATGTCTTTATAAATGTTGCATTAAAAATAAAATTTATTTTTCTTCATAAATGCCACAAAAAAAATTATTAATATTAAAAAAAAAAAAAAAAACAATCACACCAAATTTATTTGGTGTGATTTAAATTAAATTTAAATTAACAATTAATGTTAAATTTAAAAAAAGCTTTTTAATCATAATGACCATCAAATTCAAAAATAATGTTAAAAGCCATTCAATAAAAAATCATGTAATGCAAAAAGCTATTCAAAATAAAAACAAGTAGAAAAGAAGCAAAAACTAATGAAAAAAACAAAACAATAAACTTACTACTGCAAAAATACTAAGTTAAAAATTTTCATATTTTTAATTGTTTGTTTAAACACCAGGTAATTTAAGGGTTAAATAAAATAAAAAAGTTATAATAAAAAAATAAAAATTACTAAAGGTACAAAAAATTTATGCGGTAATTTAAAAATTAACCAATAAAAATTTATGCTTAAGCTATTGTATAAAACATTCAAATTGATTTTTGTTTAGGTGGAATTTTAGAGGAATTATTTATTTAAAAGTTTAGATGTTTTAAATTAGAAATTAATTAATTGATAATAAAAATAATAATAATAAAGATATAATTTCAAATAATAAACAAACAATAAAAAGTTTAAATTAGTTTTTATATATTTTTAAACTCCTCTGTAATACTTACATCTGCAAAAGAGCATTTAAGTTATAAGAAAATAAAAGTATTTTATATCTTATTTCATGATTCCTTTTATTTAAAATATTTGATCACCACTGGATTCCTTTTGACTGTTGTGATAAGCGGTTGTTTTTTCATTATTACATTGTACTTTAACATTTGATATTAAAGTTTAAATCATAATTTTCAATAATAGTTAAAATAGTAGTAATTATGTTATTATAATTATGTTATTATAATGAGATTTTAAATCACAATTTAAGATCAAAATAAATATTTTTTATAGAATAACAGCTATTGAGTTTAGTGAACAGAATTTACGGTTTTTAAAGCTAAAAGAATAAAGACCGGAAGCATTTCCAGATTTCATGTTCAAAAACATTAATTTTTTTATACAATCATACTTGCTAGGGGTTGTCAAAAAATTATGTCATGCTAAGGGAGAGAAAGGATTGCGATTTTGTGATCATTTGTTACAAGGGGGAAGGGGTTTTCAGTTTTGTGATGCAACATTTTTTTTTCTCAAGTTTCAAATTTAAAAAAAAATTTCTATTGATTAAAAGAATGACCTAAGACACTTGACTGACGCTATTCCAATTTAACATAAATATTCAATATAACATCAATGTTTGCTGGCCACACCTTAAAGTATGTGGTTTTGATCATCCGCAGTTCTGTGCCAGTATGTTGTTGATGCAAAAAAGTTTAAGTTTATCAACTTTTTTTTTGTATAAATAATAGTATTTTTGTGGGCTTTTTATTTGGTAATAATGGCTTTTAAAGTAATACTAAGTCATAATTAGTTAAATTTTATATGTATTAAAATGCATTCATTAGATTACTATAAGCAGGTAATAAATCTAAAAATATTATTGTATTTAAAACCACAATAACATTTTTTTTTTCTTTTTTTTTTTTTTGGGGGGGGGGGGGGGGGAGGGAGGGGGAGGGAGGAGTCCAAAATTGTCAAAAAAATAGCTGATGTAGTTTATGGACAAATTCCTATCTAAATTATTAAAAATAATTAAAGTATTCATTTTTAATTGATTTTTATAAAATATAACTTCATGAAAATACTTTAAAAAATGCATATTCTGTTAAATTTAAAATTCATGTAAAATGAAAAGTCTGCTATTGAAAATATATTTATTATCGCTTAAATATCTATGATTGCTTAATAACTCTCAAAAAGTCAGCTGCACATAATAAAATAAAGAAAATCTATTTCAAATAATCTATTTCAAAATATTGACAGATTTTTAATCACAACTTTATAATTAGTCTAAACATGAGATTTTTTATATATCACTCAATAATTCTATATTTGTCAACTTAATTTTTGCCCCTTATTATCTCAGTATCCCATGATATACAGAAATAACTGGGTATAGTGAGTTAGGTATAGCAGTATATATTCTTAATAATGCTAATTATATTTTTTATTAATTATAGGTTATTCCTATTTATAATCTTATTTATTATATATTTATTCTTATTTAATTTTATTTTGTATTTTATACTTATTCTTATTTATCTTGTAGCAATTTTTACTAGATTTAAAACTGGAAGTATGTATGAAAGTATGAAAATGTATGATTCTAATTCATATATTTTCTTTACATAAAATGTTTTTTTCAATAGAAATGTTTCATATTTCTCTTTGGGCTTTTATTGCTTAGTCTAGTTTAAGCACCGCAGATTACCTGCATCAAGTATAACAAAATTAAGTTAACTATTAAAGTCTTAAATACAAACAACAGCGATGTTTGGATGCAGATAAATGTTTTATGCTCAATATTATGCATGTTGCACAAATATTATTTTCCAATCTCATTATGAATAGTGTAACATTTAGTTGACATTTTAAAATATTAAATAATAGGTTGCATCTTGTAGTTATACTATTATTCTTCTTAAAGCAACGATATTATTGTCTTTAATTGATAATATTAAAAAGCAACCCCTAAATATTATCAATTTTGGTTCAAATTTTGGTTCATATAGAACAAACTTTAAGGAGAGCATTTAGGCTTTACATTAAAATTTTGAATTACCTAAACTGCACAAGTGAATGAATGAAATTACATGAGTATCATTACAAATGATAACTCTCTGACTAAACCTAGAAACTGAAAAAATATATATTTATATAATTCCTTAAGAAAGTAATGATGGCCACAATACCAGATAAAATTTTGCTAGGACATTTGTTTGTTCATAGCTAGTGTATAAATCAGATACTGTGCTCTTTTACTTAACAAGTCCACAATAATTAATGCAATGCATTGGTAGTGTTGTGGCAGAGTACTTAATTTAAATGGTTCAATGGTTTTCACACGTTTCAATGGTTTGTATTTTGGAAACTAAAATATAATAACCATTAAAAAATGTTTTTTAATTGAAATTGAAATTTCAAGTCATGGTTGCATGTTAATGCAATAAAATTATTTGTAAATTAGCTTTTTAAAATAACATGAAATTTCATAGAAATTCTTATTTGGCATTTTCTAAATTACAGATTAACAAATCTTAAAAAATTATTTTATATAGGCTGACTTTTAAATTTTTTTTATACAGGCTAACTTTCAAGACATGCGTGAGCACAAAGTTGTACAAACGGAAGAAATCATTTCTTTTATTGAACACTATGAAAGGTTTAAAACTTAAGAAAATAAATTTTTTGTGTTTCTTTGTTTTTTGTTTCTTTTTTGTAAATATAATATAAATTGTCATTGTTAAAAACGTAAACTGTCAGCGTTGAAAATAATTCAGGAGTTACCTCAGGTCTGAGTATTGAATGTAGCAGTTTCATTCAATTTTCATGACCTGCTGAGATAACCACATACTTACCATTATATACAACCACATTATATACAACCACATACATACCATTACTAATGACATGCAAAAGCTTTATTTAGGGAAAAAAAGATCTTAAGGTTGTATATAGATTGTATAAGGTTGTATATAAAAGGTTGTATATATATAATAGTAATATTATTAGTAACAATAAGTTAACTTCACCACCTTAAGGCTTCAGAGAGAGCCACTAAAGTCAAGGACGCTAACTTGTTTTTGTTTTGTTTAGGGATGAGTCCAAAAAAGGACTCCACATTTAAATATCACAAAAATATTACTTTTTGCCTAGTTTTTGGCATCCAGAAGCTCTAATAATATAAAAAAACGCTTATGGACTACTACTGTTAAAAAAATTAAGACTTTCAGGTTAGAGGAACAATCACTTTTTGAACCCAGAGTCCTAAGGTATAATGGCGGCAAGGACTCCAGGACTCTAGGTATAAAAACAATATGTTTCAAGTCATTTAATTTCATTAATTTTTTTTATATAGCAGATAATAAGTCAACCAACATGTTCAGAGCTTCTTGAAACCTAGAGACCAGGAAAAAATATATAATATTATATATGAGACATAAAGCTTTTGCACCATCTCTGGTTTTGTTTTTAGTTTTTTAGTTTATTTGCAACTCTCAACTTTAATTTTTGTTAATCATATATTATATCTTGACAATTTCTACCTGTCTACCATTTCTGATCTCTGCCAGTTATGGTGTATCTAAGAACGCAAAAAAAAGTTCAAATGATGAAATTGATTGTCCAAAAATTATTGAGAGTGGAACACACACATGGACAGTGTCAATTTAATGGGCTCTTATTTGGGTTGCTTATTGAGCATTAAAATTGAAAATGAAAAACCATTTGTTTTACATAAATTAGGCATGTATATAGTTTTATTTTTTTTCAAATTAACCCACTAAGATCGTCTACAGATGGTCTTTCATTTTTTTGTTTTGATATTTGACTACTGCTTTTAACAATAAAAATGTGCTGAAAAAAATTGAATTATACGTTAGACATAAATAACATCAAAACCTTTATCTTTACTAAGGTTTTTATATTAGGGAAACACCTTTAAATAAAGTAAACAAATTAATGATGATGATTTTTCTTTAAAGTACTAATAGAAAGTGTATTCAATTTTTTTATTTGTATTATATAAACTATATAAGTATGCATTTTTTATAATAAATTTTTTTTTTTAAATTATTTGAATTTTATAAACAACTTTTTTAGACAATGACAGTCTCTTTTTATATATTTTATTAAGAATAATTTTATTCAATACACTCAAAAAGATTTCATTGAAAAAAAAATGACAAATGTTTTTTTGTTATCATTATTTTTATTCTTTCCCAACAAGGCTGCAAGCAACCAGTATTAAGTTGGGAGTTACAAGAAGAAGAAAAAAAAAGACAGAAGAGTTAAAAAGTTGTAGTTTGTATGAGTCAGGATAACATGAAGATGGGAGAGAGTTTCAAAGGGTGAAGTGTTGGAAAAAAAACTATACAAATAAAAGTTTCAAGAGCATGCAGAGGCAGATACAGTATAAGAATGAGGCTGAATGACAAGTCAAACGAGTATGAGTTTTAGTTAACATGACGAACCTTGCAAACTGCCTCTCTAAACAGCTTTTTTACAAGAATTTTTGGTTTTTGCACAAACTATTGGTTTATTCATTTAAAATAACTGTGCTTTCAAAAAGCAACTGTTTTTGTTGTTAATTTGAAAAAAATTATATAAAATTTTAAATTCAACAACGCTTTCATTTAAACAAATATGTTTTCTATAATTGAAATTTTCACAAGATCAATTTTTGTAACAATTTTTTTCTTTTTTTTCTTCTTTTTAATTCATACAAATTAACTTTTTCGAATATTAGAAATTCCTTTTTGTAAAAAGTTAAATAATGTAAATTCCGTTTAAATTGTAAAAATGAAATTCATTGGAAAAACAGAAAGGTTGTAGAATGTTTTTATAATATAAATTCAATACAGAAATAAAAGATCGCCTATTATGAACGGCACAAAACAATTAAAGAATCTATTAATGATTATGCAAAAAAGTGCAGAATAAGAAAAGACGAATGTTTTGCAGCAGAAAGTTGTAAGAATAAAAAGTATTAATTTCTAAACCATTGTCTGACATTTTATATTTTAAAAGTAAGTAAATTATTATGCTTTGCAGATTGTTTTTTGTAAAACTGAGATATTATACTTGATTTTAGAGTAATTATTTAGTAGTGTTTAGTTACTGTATTAATCCCTTTATCAATGTTTCAGAATATAACCACATACCTTCATCAATTTGTTGGTCGTATAATTTTCCGGGATTTTCCGGGTTTTTTATTAAAATAATTTTCTGGGATTTTCATAAAGTCAAAAACTCATCTATGATTATGGGAAATAAAAACTAATTTTAATACTTTGTCATTCGATAATCAAGAACCGGATTTACCCCGTTGGGACCCCTATGCCATGTTGATGTGGAAGACCATTCCCCCACGAGGGTCTTGGGCTGTCAATTCCAGAAAAAAAATTTTGAAATCAAAATTTCAAGAATTTCTTTTTAAAATAAACTATCAAAGTTCATTTTTTATAAATTTTTTTGTTTGGATAAAATTTTGTTCTTGATTATAGTGTCTACTATAATCAAGTCGTCAATATTGTTTGTTTGTTTGGTTTATTCATGATCAACAAAATTTACAAGTTATTGACAAAGAGTGGCACACCAGGCCACTCTGTAATGAAAATATAGTTTTAAGATTTCAAATAAAGTTAAGACGTCAAAAGCAAAGAAAGTTCATATTTAAAATTGTTCAGTTTCTTTGAGTCCACCGCATTTTGGGTAGAAGCATTCCATGGTTTAACAACATGGTTAGTGAGTAAGATGTTTCTTTCTGCACAGTTTTGTACAAGTTATTTTGTGTGTCCATGCGGTTGGAGATTGTAGTTTAAAGACTTTAAAGGTGTTTGGTTTGAACTGAAGAACTGAGGAGTTAACTTTGTCATTTTTGCTGATGATTTTGTATTGCTCAAAAGATCTCCTCTTTCTTGTTGTTCACTTAGCTTTGTCAAGTTAATTCTTGATAGTCAGTCTCTGAATATATGCAAGTGTTTGAAGTTGGCAGTATTTTTTTTGACTCAGTTTTGAACTTGTCCAAGTTTGGCTATGTCTTGAGCTAGAAATGATAGCTTGTACTGCAAATTCTATATGCAGGCGAACATATGAAGTATACTTTTGTGTGCCATAATGTTGTACTTTGACCTTGAAAAGCTTTCTTGAGCTTGCCAAGCATTCAGTTGCCAGCTGATGCAGCCGCAAAGACTTGTTTTTTAACCTTCAGATTGTTAGTCATAACAACGCCTAAGTCTTGTTCAAATTTTGTGCATGACAGCTTTTAGCTTGTTCAAATGTTGTGCAAGACATGCAGTTGGCATTCCAAGTTATTCATAGTGTAAATTGATGTAAACTTTTTAGTATTGCTACGCCCAGATGCATTATAAAACACAAGTCAATTTTTTTATCTTTAGTTTTTAAGACCCCTAATTTTGTGGGGACCCCTGTACCATGGCACACCCAGTATTTGTCTAAACTCGGACCTGTATTTAAAATTAAAATCTATTTTGTTTTTAATTGTGTATTAAAGATTGTCTACTAAATGATTTTTTAACTGCCGTACTTGTTGATGAAAGCGATGAAATTTAACTAGCAGTATTGGACAGTGTTGAAGCATGTGAACAACATACAACATGGTTGAAAATACCTATTATAGACCAACAAAATTGAATCTTCAAAATCTACCTTGTGGCTGTCCATTAATTATGTCAACAATTTTTTGACAATTTTTCTTGACTTTCCCCCTGCCCCTTGTCAACAATTGTCAAAAATTTTTAGACTCCTTCCCCCTATTTTTTTGAATTAACTAATGGACATACCTTAACTGAGTTTAAAATTTAATACACTAGTATTAAAAAAGAGTAACTTTACAAAACACATTTTTTTTAATATTTCGTTGTGTTTTTTTTAACATTGATGTGTAAATGGTTATCGCTAATATATAGGGTAACACACATTATATTAAACAAAAAAGCATGTACATTTTAAAGTTTATTTGAGGTGGAACCATGTCAAGCTTCACTAACTTCTAAAATGTAAAGAATACTAAAAAAAAAAAAAACATAAAAACATGTTTGTTTTTCAATAAAAAACATGTTTGTTTTTTTAATAAAAAAACCATTGTTTTTTTTTTTTGATTTTATATAATAGTACTATACCATTATAGTATATATTACACAGTATTTCACACCAAGTATTTTACGGAAAATAATCTATATCTGTGTTTAAAAAAAAAATTTTTTTTTTTTTTTACAAATGCTATTATAACTTAGTGTTATAATTATTATTCACATTTATAATACTCTACTAAAAACAAAACAATTGTTGCATTATAAAATAATATATTATAAAGTTGACAAGTTGTTAGCCATTTGTGTAGTCAGTCCATTTTGTAAATGAAAAGTAGTCAATTTAAAACTCAAACTTTGTCTTTTTTATTTGAATTTTTTTTTTAAATAAAAAATTATACTTTTGCATGAGCCATAAATTGCTCTGGTAAACCACTTTAGGGGAGTGTAGGCGAGAGTTAAGTCTATTGCTTCCTAAATATATATATATATATATATATATATATATATATATATATATATATATATATATATATATATATATATATATATGTATATATATATATATATATTTAAGAGTACGGAAAGTAAAAAATGATTCTTTTGACAACAAATTACGTCACTTTTAATTACTTTTGACATTTATCCAACATTTCCGTGTTGTCATAAAGTTTAAACTATTAATTTAATTACTTTTTTAAAAAACCGCAAAAACGCAAATTTAATTGACCAGAATGTTTTTAAAAACATTCAGAATGTTTTTAAAAATATAAACAATGTTTTTATTTTTATTTTTTAAATAAAATGTTTTTATTTTTTTTTACTGTAAATCATGCGCGAGTGTTGCTACATCGACTATCTTATAACCTGACTCGCAACAGAGTGCTGCTTCATCGACTGACAAATAGCCTGACTCGCAATGGAGTGCTGCTGCATTGATTGACAAATAGCCTGATTCGCAACGGAGTGCTGCTATATCGACTGAGGGTTTGGTTTAGGCAGGCAGTCTATCAAATAACATGTGTGTGTATATATATATATACATATATATATATATATATATATATATATATATATATATATATATATATATATATATATATATATATATATATATATATATATATATATATATATATATATATATATATATATATATGATTTTAGTTTTGACATCTTGTACAAGAGTATGTATTTATAAACTACTTTAAAACATCAGATAAAACAAATTCTCTTAATAATTTATTTGAAATGTTTACTGGATTATAGGCAGTGGCATTATCAGCATATAATATAATTGCAAAATTGTGACAGCAACAAACAACAACAAATTAAAATGAAAGTTTGGAGTCAGTTTATAATGGTTTCTTTTTTTCTCGTCAGTTTATAATGGTTGTCATTTTATTTAAAATCAGTTCTGTAACCAGCTTTTCTGAATGTTTTTCTAAGTCTGGGAGATATTATTGGTATCCATGGTAAAGAGATTGTAGGAAGGGTATTAGAGTTTGATTGGATTTCATTTTTATTTGCTAAACATTTTTTTTAAACCTGATAAGAAATGTCTTCAGGCGTTCCTTCATTGTCTTTAGGCGTTCTATTTTCAGTAAACACTTTAATAAGGAAATTTATCTCATCTTGTAATGTGTAAATGTTGTTGTATATCTTTTTCAAATGATTTTTGCTGCATATTGAGTAGTCTCTGTGTGTGTATTCGTTGAATATTGTTTTTAAAATTTGGTGATCGCGATTAAAATTATATATATATATATATATATATATATATATATATATATATATATATATATATATATATATATCCTAGATTGCTTGCCCAAACCAAACCCTCAGTCGATGTAGCACCACTTCCTTGTAGCAGCACTCCCTTGTAGCAGCAAGCTATAAAATAGTTGATGTAGTCTATAAGATAGTTGCATGTTTCACACTAAAAAAGTAACATTCCTCGCATGTTTTACCTATTTGTTAGTCAATGTAGCAACACTCCTCACATGTTTTAAAAATATTATAAAACAATAGAAATAAAAATAAAAACTCAAGTTTAAATAACAAAATAAATTTGTTAATAAAGATGTAAATTTTTACACATTTTTGGTCAAGTTGACATTTTAATTTGAAATTAGTTTGACAGAATTTATTTAATAATATTTATATTTATAATGATAAATAAGATTTATAATGTAAAATTTATAATGTATTGGTTAATTGCATCATATACATAATTCTATTTTATTAGACCAAGCGGCTCCGCTGAGATTTATTTCTGTGAATGTTCTGTAAAAGAAGGATTTGGTTTGTCTTTTATCTATAAGTTCCTCAACATGCCGTTTTTAATTCTTCAGGTTTTTACTATTTTTACTGCACAATTTGGATTTACAAATTGTATATCCAAATTGAATGTATGTTAGTCAAATTTTTGTGTATTATCATTTAATTTTGTTTTTTGTAATTTTTTTCTGATGATTATAGACATACATTATAGACATGTGCATCAAATAGAAAATTATTATTTATTACTGTTTAGAGAGAGACATTATTGCGTCAACTTGAAGCAAATACACTTGAGATAGAGGTTTAATGTTTTATGTCTTTGTAAAAAATATCCCTGATGTTTTTTTTTTAAAATAAGAGATTATTTAAAACAATTGATTTCTAATGAAACCTACTACTATTACCAACATCTATTAATGAAACCTAGCAACAGCTATTAGTGAAACGTACTAGCAACATCTACTAATGATTACTACTGGCAACATCTACTAATGATTCCTACTAGCAGCATCTACTAATGCTATTAATACCTATTAATACCAACATTTACTAATAAGATCTACTAGTGACACTAGTCAACTTCTAGCTCTACATATTTAGTGCATTTACTAATAGCATTTTTTAATAACACCTACTAGTAAAATTTACTCACACCTACTGCTAAGGTCTAACAATGACACCTAATACTAAATCATTCTAATGACACTTATAATTAACAACTTCTAATGACACATAGTACTTATTGGTATCTACTACTATTGCCTACTCAAGACTTACCACTAACATCTACTCAACTCAAATTTAAAACACTAATTTAAAATGTTTTTGTTGATAATAAGAAAAATTTTATAAACATTTTGATATTATTTTTTCCATTTATATAAAAAAAAAAATTTCTTGTTTTGTTTAGGAAAGCAGAGAAACTTTAAGCATTGATTCTTCATCTCCTGAGCAGTGTTATGAAAAGTAAGTAAATTTTCATGTATAGAGTGTCAAATTTTTAGCATCGTTATAATTATTAGTATATTGTGAAAAATTGCATATATTTATCTAAAAAACAATAAAAACTGTCTGGTAACGTAACATTAGATGCAGAGCAAGTTATTAAACCATTTCTCCACCCATAAATGCAGATGGAGAAACGGTTTGTAATGTATTTTATCATGTATAATATTTCAAAAATTATGATTAACAACAAATTAAGATATAGATTATGATTAGCGATGATATATATTTATATATATATATATATATATATATATATATATATATATATATATATATATATATATATATATATATATATATATATATATATATATATATATTTATTTATTTATTTATTTACAAACCAAAAAGAAAATGGAGAAGTAAAGATTGAAAAAAAAGTCACAAAAACAAAAAATGGAATTATAATTCCATTTATGATATTATTTATGTTTAATAATTTTGATAATGATAATTTTATAATCAAATGTTTGAAGGTTGTTAAACTTAGTTATCATCAAAACAAAAAACTGCATTCATAATTAAGTGGTCAAAAGTACAAAACCGTAAATATTTTGTACAGGTCAAATTGTTTTTTTAAGGCTCAAGAGACACTATAAAAGTAATGGATGCTCTAATGGCATGATGGATTAAATGCTATATTAATATTATATTAGATTTTTTTACACATTTATGGTTTTTAAAGCTTTGTATAGATTCAAGTTATTACAGAAGGCTCCTGAAACAATGGGTTCAAAACATGTTTCTTCTCATGATTTGAGGATTGTCAATGAAAATGAAGGCAATGAAGGTTTATGCTTTTTATTATTTTTTTAATGTTTTTTTTTAATATTTAATTATATAATAAAAAAATAAAATGTTCTTGAATTTTTAAGAATATCGATTGAGGAAGAGATTTAAAAATTGTGTCATACGCCAAAACAAAGGAAAAACAGAAAAGAGACTGGAATCTATTAGTCTGATAAACTAATAAATAAAAATGAAGTAATTCACATAACCTGCATTTCATCTGAGTTCTGTTAGAACTCAATAGGCAGGACTTGCAAATTATAAACAGTGTGTTTTAGAACATTAGATTTTGGAATAACCTAAATGATGCACAACACTAAAATAAGTTATGTCCTAAAAGCCTCTCACATTTGTTCTTTTTCTATACAGAAATCATTATTTCTGTATGGAAAAGATAAAAAATTAAAAATTTGACAAAGCTGAAGAAAAAGTGAAATGGGGGGGGGGGGGGGGGGTTCAGTCAGTACCTTCTTAGTTACTTTTTAAATTTTGTAATTAAAAATTTTGTAAATGAAAAAATAATATAATAAACAGTAATTGTCATATATTATACTATTGTTTCAGTATCAAAATTTAAAAGTAGGTTACAAATTGCTTTGTTTACTGATTTCATAAATTTTCTCTACATTTTATTAGAACATTTTAAAATCATTGATGTCTTTTTTTGCTATCATTTATTTCTTTTTTTGGTCTCTAAGTTCCTTTGTACAAGTTTGAATCTTTGGTTTAACATCTAAAATAGTAGGGTTTTATAGCATAATGCCAGCATTTTTTCTGTTAGGTTTTTTTTTCATTGTATTTGACATTAGCACAGTTCATAGGCTCATTTCAATCATGGCTAGGTTAAAAATGTGCTATGTGTGATATTTGAGAAAATTTCTTCGGCTCATTTCAATCATGGCAAGATTTAAAATGTGTTGAGAAAGTTTCAGCAACATTAGAAAAAGTTTACTACTAAACAACAAAAAAGAAACTTGTTGTTAAATAGTTTTTTTGTTACTGAATAGTCCTTGAGGTCCTTGTATGTTCATTGGAATGACACGGTAAGGATTTTTTTGGTTAACTTTTTTTAGAGTCCTTATCAATTCAACTGGACTATAAATATCAGTTTTCCTCATGCTCTTTTTAATTTCACTATGCACATGATTTACTTTCTGAAGGACCTGTGCATGATTTACTTTCTGAAGGAAGAGTGTGTTTCATATTGATTGAGTTAATCTTAGTATAGTCACTTAAAAATTGTAAAACAGTATTTGGTATCATATTTTTTCAATTTTGAAGGTTAGTCAGGCCAGGAGTCAGACCAAGTAACTATCATTTTTACAATAACCAGTATCTTCAAATTGCCAGATCATTGCTGGCTCTGTTCGCTATTGGTTCAGTCTATAATGTACTGTACACTTTTTTGATTGTAGTATGCTATTAAATAGTAGTATGCTATTAAATTATACCCATTTAGCTTTGTCAGAAAGAAAGTGAATTAATTTCTGCACGCATACTCAAAATAACATATTGACGGTTGACATGTAAAACAAAAACATTTTTTTCTTTTTTTCTTCAGCACATAAATGTCTCATTTCTATTTTAAAAACTTGATGTCTTTCAAAGGCTTTTTTTAATTTTAATAAAGCATTTTTAAAATTTTTACAACATAATATCAGTGTTTTCAGCAACTTCAAACTTCTAACCAAGAGTGTATCTATCTATCTTGGGAACTTGAAAACCAAGAATGAATTTGTTGGAAAAAATATGGTAGTAAATAAATTTTTTTCTCTATTCAATATTTTTTTCAATACATTCCTCTTTGTAAAGATCTTAAATTTTGGATTTATTAACATGTGACTTGAGATATTTTCTATTGGTATTGACATAACAATAATGACATAACTCAACTGTTGAAAATAATTTTATGTGATCTGTCTGGTCATCAGTATCTTCATTTAATGTGATCTGTCTGGTCATCAGTTTCTTCATTTTATGTGATCTGTCTGGTCATCAGTTTTTTTATTTGCGTTTCACTATCTTCATTGTTTTCATTGTAGTTTTTTTTGGCCTAGCAGTGGTTGTGCGATCAATTAAAGTAATATAGAAATGTATTTTTTTCAGTAGCTGATTTTAAAGAATAAAATGATGCAAAAATATCATTATGCTCATCTTCTGATATTTACTTAACACATTCATACTTACAATTAGTCAAGCAGTTTTTTTTTGTTTGTTTGAATAACCTTTTAGGTACTTGCTTTTCTCTTTGACTTATTTTTATTATATTTTTACCAGCTTAGTATGTCTTTTTTCTTTCATCACATCCCTATATTTCAGGTTTTAGGTATTCATTTTCTGAATTTTTTCTTGGATTTTTGTTGATCTTGGTTAAGTAAGGTTTGGTTAGTATGTAATTTTAGATTATAGGCTTATTAATGTGGAAATCACTTTGCAAAAGTAAAAACAAAACATAAATAAAAAAAAATTACAAAACTTCAAAAATTTAGATGATTGTTTTTAATAACAACACTATTGTATTAAACTTGTTTGTTGTTCATTTGAAAGAAGTGAGAAGGCAGATAATTGTCATTGTTTTAAAATTAAAAAAAAAAAGTTTAGCTTCTAAAACCCCCTTTTATTTTTGTTTTTTAATAGTTACTTCAATTCTAATGGAAAGTTTTTTGTTGCACATTATAACAGTAATTAATTTGATTTATATTACATTATTAAGTTATAAGTAAAGATTTTTAAAAAATTGAAAAATATTAGTATTTTGGTAGCATTTTATTAAATCTGTTTAAAATTAAAATACTCTCTGTTGATTTTCATGTTTTTATATGATTTTTGATGAGCATTAAATTTTCTATCATAATAACTTATTGACAAAGTAGCGGAAGAATCTTAGTTGAAACCTTGTCAAACTATATGTTAGTTAACTAAATCTGCAGATATAACTTTGGCACAGTTTTTATATAGATTGTTTGACATAATTCCAGACTTCCTTATAAAAGCAACTTCAAATACTATCTGCGTTTTTTAACCAATTTCTAAGAGTTCAGCTGTTTGAAAAGTTCAAGGGTGAAAATAAAGTAGTTCATGGGAAAAGTTATGGGGATTGATTGTACCCAGAGGTTTTCTCTGATCCATTACAGTAATCATACATTGCAGTATTTAAATAAAAAAAAAGTTTTCTGGCACTATCTTTTAAATTTACCCGAATTCTTGTTTTAAAAAACAAGAATTTGGGTACTATATATATCTTTTAAATAAGTTTTAAAAACAAGAATTTGGGTACTAAATATCTTTTAAATTATTTTTAAAGATATGTGTTTGCGTACTAAATAAATGTGATATTAGCACAAACTTCAGATGCAGAACTAGTTAATTGTAAAAGAAATAACTTTATCCATTTTGACTTCACAATATCAACCCTCAGAATTAGGGTCGCCATTCGGCAATGCCAACCTAACTGCCGACCTAAAAGTGTTTGAGGTCGGCAGAAAATTGCCGACCTCATTTCTATGTTTTATGGTCGGACCTTTGTATCAAATAATTTTTGCCAACCTCAAAAAGATCAAGGTCGGCAAATTATTGCCAACCTCATTTTTACTAATTCTGAGGGTTGCAATATTAAAAATGCCAGAAATTGTACCAAAAGTTAGAGGTATTTTTTCGTATTTTGTTAATAAAGTACTTAGTGCAGAAAAGCAAAATTTAGTACTATCAACATAAACTTTGAGAATTTGATAAAGCAAAAAAAAAAAAGAAAAAAAAAAGGTAAATGCATGTAAATATTCCAATTTATATTTGAAGCATGTATTTATTCAGATTTATATTTGATAAACTTAAAATTTTAATATAAATTTAAAAAAAAAGGAGAAGGAATTTATGCAAAAGAAAAAAAGTTGAATTTTGCTAAAAAAAGCATATAATTAATGATAACAATTCCTCATAAAAATACCTTTGTTAATTTTTGTTACAGAAAAATTTTTGTTAAAGAAAACAGAAGTTAAAAACTTTTATAAAGAAATGTAATTATCATAATTATCTTATGTAGTTTTTTGAAAATTTAAGTTAAAAAACATTAGGAAAATTTAAGTTAAAAAACATTAGGAAAATTTAAGTTAAAAAACATTAGGAAAATTTAAGTTAAAAAACATTAGGAAAATTTAAGTTAAAAAACATTAGGAAAATTTAAGTTAAAAAACATTAGGAAAATTTCAGTTAAAAAACATTAGGAAAATTTAAGTTAAAAAACATTAGGAAAATTTAAGTTAAAAAACATTAGGAAAACTTAAGTTAAAAAACATTAGGAAAATTTAAGTTAAAAAACATTAGGAAAATTTCAGTTAAAAAACATTAGGAAAATTTAAGTTAAAAAACATTAGGAAAATTTAAGTTAAAAAACATTAAGAAAATTTAAGTTAAAAAACATTAGGAAAATTTAAGTTAAAAAACATTAGGAAAAAAAAACATTAGGAAAAAAAAACATTAGAAAAAAAAACATTAGAAAAAAGTTTTTTTTTGCAAAGTTTAATTATTCTTTTCAATAAAGTTTTTTTAATTTTAAAATAATTCCATGTCAAATGACCCAGGTCATGTCACCATGCATCTCAGATGTTTTGGATTTTTATACAGTTGAGAGTGCTTAGTAAAATAAGAATTCCTTTAAAGTTTTAGCTTCTTGATCCTGAAATATGACCACTTTACTTTTAGCAGATCTTTGACTAAGCCCCTCTTGCCCCCTCAGAATTAGAATATTTATTAGGAGGTTTTAAGTCACATAACTTTAAAAATATTTGATTTTTTTATTTGTAACTGGCTATTTTTGGGGTGACATTCAATTAAATGATCAGAAGTGTAAAAAATTATTATTAAATACCTGTAATAATTTAGGAAGTTTTTTATATACCTGTTTTTATAAAAAAAAATTTAAAAGGACTGTGCGGATGCATAAATGTTACCATAACATCGTGCTCAGTTTTGTCAATTTCATTTATCCAAGTCAATCCAATGAAATGTATCATAATTACACAAAATAAATTCACAAAATTTCAATGCGTTGATGTTAATTTGCTGATTAGGTTACTTTAATACCAGAAAAAACATGTTATATTAAAATCTTCACATATTGGTTTAAAGCTAACAGAATCTATAAATTCTGGGTTAAATTGATGATAACTCCTAGTTCCAGGAATTGTTTTACTTGAAAACATTTTTTCAAAGTGGTGCGCACTTCTGTTAGTTTTTACTTTTTAATTTAAAAAAAAATAATCTCTTCAATTCAATATCTGGTCATTTATGAGCCTTTGTAGACTTGCATTTGCAATTAATAGTTTTACAGTGCCACCATCACATGGTGACTTACCATGACTTGTAGCAAAAAATCAATGTCAAAATCATCTTTATGGAAACAAATATTGTAAACATTTTTGTGGTTTTTATACTGTGCAGCACAACAATCTAAAAAATAAAGAATCTTTGAAATATTAATATGATTTTCTTTTAAATAATTATAATTAACAATTTGTGTCTGAACTTTATACACAAAACCAATATCATGCTCATTATCTTCTGACATGATTTTTCTTTAAGCTGGTCATTTTCATTTAATAAATAGAGGGAAACTGGGTGTAACATGCATTGACTTTGGTACCAATACTAACTTTAGATTTCATCTTGAATCACAAATGTGTAATTTTCTGTAAAATTACCTAAAACAACACAGCAGTCTTTGTCAACTTTTCTTTTTGTTGCCTTTAGGTATCTTGCTTGATATTTTGCAATATCAAATCAATGTCAGAATGAGCTGTTAATTTGTATTGGAAACAATTTTAACACGCGTTCATTAGGACTACACAAGTGCTAAAATTTTTAGAGCTCCAGTTTGTCTGGAAACTAGCGAAAAATTACAAGATTCTGCTACAAAAAAGTGGAGCCTATCATGGGCCCCACTTTTTGTTTACTTAAATTTATTTAAATTGATAAATACAGGTACTTAAAATTAAAATTTTACCTTTCTGATCATTTTATTGGATTTGCCACTCCTGAAAATAGCCAGGTTCAAATTTTTTAATTAAAAAGATTAAATATTTGTCTGAAGGGACAAAAAGGGCCTGACCAACATCTGTTAAAAGTAAAATGGTCATATTTTAGGATCTTCTTGGAGCCAGAGGCTAGAATTTTCAAGGAATTCTTATTTTACTAAGTACTCTCAACTGTGTAATCAGCAAAATCTGAGATATAGGGTGACATTTTTAAAAATTTTCTGGGTCATTTGACATGAGATTTCCCAATAGTTAAATCTCTGATATATTTTAAAAAATGTTGACAGCATACCAAATGTAATATTAAAAATATATTTATAATAATGTTAACAATATATTTATAATAATTTTAACAATATATTTATAATAATGTTAACAATATTTGATATTTTAAAGATATTTTTGGTAATTTTTTTTCTTTTTAGGAAACAAAGATGATGTAGTTACAATTAAAGCTCAAGAAGCTCTCAACTTAAACCCTATTAAACAATTACCTTTAGCACAAGTGACTCCACCAGCTCTCAACATAAACCCAATTAAGCAATTACCTGTGGCACAAGTGACTCCACCAGTTGAATCTACCAAGCCAATAACAGATAAAAATAATGCAGAAACATTGAAGCCTAGTCGTTTTCAACTTTATAAGTCAAAGTTTTTTGGTGGTGAGGTAGAGACCAAAGGTAATTTTTTAACTTAACATTTTGTTTTACTTGAATTTTGTTGTAATTTCTGCTAGTTAATAGTTTTTAACCAACTCAAAACATTTTAAGCATTCAATAAAAAGTAAATCATGCTCACCTATTTTATCAGCTATAAATTTCAATGTCACAAAGTTTTTAAAAAATTTGCTTAAATATGCTGTTTTTAGTTTTATTAAGGGTTTTTTTAATAATTTTCATTTATTATTAAAAAATCAGCAATTCCAGTGGTATATTAAGGGTTTTTTTTTAATAATTTTCATTTATTATTAAAAAATCAGCAATTCCAGTGGTATATTAAGGGTTTTTTTTTAATAATTTTCATTTATTATTAAAAAATCAGCAATTCCAGTGGTATATTAAGGGTTTTTTTAATAATTTTCATTTATTATTAAAAAATCAGCAATTCCAGTGGTAATTGGAAAATAACACAAGTAATGTTTGCTTCCACTTTTTCAATTCAAAGTTAGTTTATATATGTAAACTTTGGACTTTATTTAGCCTCAAATATTAATGTCTAGGGGTCAGATATCACAAGTTCTAGAAGGCCAATATACTGACCAAAATATAAAGTTAACTTCTTTGCTTTTTAAGAAAAATTGAAAGATTTTTGTATACTTTTAAACCAAAGTTCTTATGTAAAATATGTTAAATTGTTGCATACAACAAACCAAGCTGTTGAAAACGACGCCAAACAAATTATCATTACAGTTATCATATCATTTCATCTACTGCTGCTTTAAAAATTAGATTATAGTAAAGTATTAAAAACTGGTTAAAGTCTGAAATTATTGTTTTCATTTATTTAACCATAAAATACAAAGTATACAATAATAAACTATAAATTTACATAATATGTTACATAAAAAAGTATACAAAAATAAACCATAAAATTCCATAATATTTTACATAAAAATGTATACAATAATAAACCATAAATTTCCATAATATTTTACATAAAAATGTATACAATAATAAACCATAAATTTACATATGTTACATAAAAAAAGAAAACTAATATAAAAACAAAATCAAACAAAACAAAACAAAAAAAGAAAGAAAGTAATTAGAAAAAAAAGTGTATTAAAGAAAAATTACAAAAATAAATCACTATTTTGTAATTTTGACAATAATAACAATAATAGTATGTTATAATAATATATAAATTAATATAATTAAATCAAAAAAAAAAAAAATTTATATAAATTAAAAAATATTTTTGATTATTTTTTATGTTATAAGTTAGCAAATATTGATTTTTGGCTTTTAAAATTTACTTTAAAAATTTCACCCTTATTACTTTTAATTTTATTTACTATTAATAGACTTTAGTTTTTTTTTTCCCAACATTTTTCCCCCCAACATTTAATACAATTTCTAGAAAAATTTAATATTAATAATTAATAATGTTAAATTAGTATTAATAATATTAATAATTGATTATATTAATATCATAGTAAAAGTATTAATATACAATATATTAATTATACATTATTGCAGATATGTTTAAAAATCAACAAGAAGTAAACAATGTTGATGAATTTGTCCCTGATCAATTAGATAGTGATTTTTTAAACACTTCGATAGTCATAGCAACAGCACCATCAAATAGAAAAGAAAATTTTTTAACGAGGTTTATTTTCATTCTTTTTTTTTTACTGTAAATTTTATCAGCATAGATTTTATTGTTTTTATTTTAAATATTAGCAACAGTATTAGTGATGATGATGATATTTGCGATGGAAAGCCTACCATAGCCTCTTATGAGGATCTGGAATCTAATCATGATGTTAGTTTTGAAAAATCAGATTCAGAGGAAGAATTTGATGAATTAAGTGACAGCGAAAGACCTGTATTAAAAACATCTGAGCATTCTATTTTTCAAGTAAAACCAAGCAAAAATAACGATTCAAATGTAAATAATGATATAATCAAGCATAATGGTACTAACAAATATAATGACACTAAAAAAAATGACACAAGGGAGTATAATGGTGCCAACAAGCATAATGACAATAAAAAGTATGATTCAAGTGAATGCAATGGTACAAAAAAATATAGTGATAATAATAAAAATGTTAGCAAATATGAAAATAAAAAAAGTTTATCGAATGAGTTAGATATTCAAAGTGATGAGGATTCAACAAAAGAATCTTTGAATCTTCAATCAAATTGTCTACAATCAAACCAATCAAACATAAGCAGTGAAGAAGAAAATAATGTGTATGAAATTGCATCAGTTGTTGAAGAAGATTGGATGCAAGACAAAAGTGCAGACGAAAGTGACACTAAAGATGAAAAAGTAAGAGCATGGAACTTCTTGTTTAAGTTTAACTTCCTTTAATATATTTTAAAAGATTTTATTTGATAGTAAAATTAAATAAAGACAATATTATACTTAATATAACTTGTGATTAAAAATAAATTATTTGTTCATGTTATTCATCTTTTTATTACTAAGCCATAGAACTATGTGCTATTGGGTGTGTAAAAATAATTTGTAATTTTTAATACTTTCTTATATTATCTCAATATTTTTTTAGGAAAAAAATAAGAAAAACAATGAAAAAATAAAAAATACCATGAATGATTCAAAGAAAAATAGTACAGTAGTTGAAAAGTAAGATTTCACTTTTTATGGTTTTTTAAATTTTAAAGATTTATCCCTTTCTTTACCCCCTTTCAACCTTTTAAATCCCTCTCCATCCATTTTTTTCTCTCTTTTTCAGTCCTGTAACTAAAAACACTAACTTTGACAAGCACTTGATAATGCTACTTTATGGAAAAGCTTGAAAATGGTAGGGTTTGATCTCTGTTTCTTACACACAGAAGACATGCTTTCTAATCACTACACCACTAGCTATATATAATGTATATATCTACTATAAAATAAAAATTGCAGTGGGAGTTAATTAAAGTTGTTTTGCATTTGTAGAGCATTTTTTAATATTATTATTTTAGGAAAACATCTATCAACTTTGATGTAGATGAGCTAGAGATTTTTATGCAGAACCAATTGCAAAAAACACCATCTAAAGGTAACAATCAATTACATAAAACATCTCTAAAGGTGTCTTCAAGCTTTTTGATTATTATTAGGAAAAATTAAAATTTTTATGACAGCATTTCTGATAATAAAGTATTTAATATATATTATATAACCATTGAATTTCTTTTCCTGTATTTTTCATAACTGATCATTTAATAGTGATTTCATATTTTACACAGGCATTCATTGAGTATTTGCTCTATATTTTATAAGACAATTCTTTTACATAGCTGTTGAAAAGTTTTTTATTTACATCAACATAACCATTTAACAATTGCTTTTTTATAAATAAATTATGTAAAAAATAGAAAATTTTATATTTTTGAATTACCAGAGAAAATTTTTTCCATGATATTTATTCTACTAAAATCAGAATTACAAGGATGTCATACAATTTTATCTAGATCATAATTCTAGAATGCACTGGGGTCAGAGACTTATGCTCTATCTGGAAATCTGGTGGTGGCGCTCAGTCACACCAAGGAAAATTTTATCAAAAATAATCAAAATGTTTCCATAAATGCTATGATCATTTTTAAATGCTTAAACATATTTAAAAGTTGTGTTTTAGATGTTGTATTGATTATTTAAAAGTTGTGTTTTAAATGTTGTATTGATTATTTAAAAGTTGTATTTTAGATGTTGTATTGATTATTTAATAGTTGTGTTATAGATGTTGTATTGATTATTTAAAAGTTGTGTTTTAGATGTTGTATTGATTATTTAAAAGTTGTGTTTAGTTTTTTACAAGTACAAAAAAAACTAGTGGTGAGTTTGGGAGTTACATGTTGCTTTAGTAGGGTGTTTTTTGTATTTACAAAGTGATCACATTTGCAGTATTATATATTTTTTCCTTTTCAATTACAAAATAAAATGTTTTATTAAGTAAAAGTTGAATTAAAAGCAGTACATTGAATTCAAAATATTAAATACATTATTTTTGCTGTAAACGCCTTTTGAAAGTTTTGAAAGTAATTTATTCATTATGCTAATTTTTGAAAGTAGCTTATTCATGATGCTAACTTTTAAAAGTATTCATGATGCTAACTTGAATATGAGTAACAGTTATCATCTTGCTTCAGCCAAACTTCATAAATTAGCCAGCAACATTTTACGCCATAGGTGGTCCTTTTTCTGTGGCAGGATTGTAAATGTTTGTTTTATTGTTATCTAAATTCAATAAAATTTTAAAATATTATATTTTTTACAAAATTATCATAACTCAATAATATTCAAAAACGTTTTTCTCACAAAACCTTTTCAATTTGCAATACATAATTTTTAGACAACAAATCAAAAATTTTCCTTAAATACTTTCCGAATTACTAGTCTAACCACACAGCTCAAAGATCAAAAATCCCCCCCCCCCCCAATATTGGTCCATCCAATTTAAAGAATCTTTAGAATAATGATTTGCTAAATCTCCATGATACTTGTGAATGAATGAAAGAAGTTGTTTTTCTAAACATTCATCAATATAGATCAATGAATTAAATGCTACAGCTTTGGAAGTGCGAAACAATGGCTCGGACATACCATGATCAGATATGGCTGTCCACATTATTAATTTTTATGGGGAAATTTCTCTTTTCCTATAAAATGAACACTTTCTGAGTATGTTTTTTTGTTTCCTTCAACATCAAGGCTCTAATGATAATCAGTCAAAACATTAACCCCAATATTTTTGTATTGACAGCCTGAATTAACACAAATCACTTTTGATATTCTTGGTTTTGTTAAACCCCATAAAGAGCTCCTCAATCTTAAACTCTTCATTAACTTATTTAATATTTTGAATTCAATGTACTGCCACAGAAAAAAAACCACATATGGGGTAATGACTTACTGACTAATTCATGAAATTTGGTTGAAGCAAGATGATAACTGTTACTCATATTCAAGTTTACATCATGAATATTTTCAAAAGTTAGCATAATGAATAAGCTACTTTCAAAAGTTAGCATAATGAATAAGCTACTTTCGAAGTTAGCGTAATGAATAAGCTACTTTCAAAAGTTAGCATAATGAATAAGCTACTTTTGAAATTAGAGTAATGAATAAGCTACTTTTAAAAGTTAGCATAATGAATAAGCTACTTTCAAAAGACATTTACATCAAAAAATCTCAAATTCCAGGTGACTAGCTTTAGAAGCATTTACCTCATTCATTTAACTTATTCCCTCATTCCATCCCTTTTCTGTGGCGGGCTTTACATTTTTGAATTTCATTGAATTTGACTTTGTTGAAAAAACCAATTTTTAATTTCATTGAACTTATATAATCTTGTAAAAACAACAGTTTTTGTTTTGTTTCAAATATATTCAATTAAATAGTTATAATTAAATTATTTTTTTAATTATTTCTTATTTATTTAGATAAATTTATAAATGTTATATAGATTAAGTTAATGATTTTATTTATTTTTTCTTAACATAGACTTAATTTACTCATGACTTCAATAATCATGTGTTGTGTGAACTGTGTTAAAACAGCTTAGTCATGACTTTAATAATCATGTGGTTGTGTGAACTGTGTTAAAACAGCTTAGTCATAACTTCAATAATCATGTGGTTGTGTGAACTGTGTTAAAACATCTTAGTCATGACTTCAAAAAGCAAGTTTTGTACCAAGTGTTAAAGCAAGTTTTGTAACAATTTGAACAACTAGCAAAAGTTTGTTTTGTGTTTTCAGTATCAAAGTCCTGTTGTACATCAAAAACTTCTTAAAAGTATGTCAACCTAGACACAGTGGGCCAATTAGTGGATATTGGTCAAAAATCAGTGTTGCCAAAATAAATTTAAGTTAGTTGTTATTAAAAGCCAAATAAATTTCTAGTTCATTAAAAAAAAAAATTTCAATAGTATAATTTGTTCAAAATGTATACTAGTTTGAATAATATAAATTTGTTGCAAAAAATAGGTAATAGGTATAAATGATACATAAAAGTCATTTTTGGCTATATATATATAAGAACAATTGTCACTATATGAACAGTGCTAATAGTTGTATGTAGAAACCACTATATGAGCAGTGCTAATGTGATAGTTGTATGTAGAAACCACTATATGAGCAGTGCTAATGTGATAGTTGTATGTAGAAATCACTATATGAGCAGTGCTAATGTGATAGTTGTATGTAGAAACAATCTTAGACTGCTGTTTATGGAAATGTAAATGTTATTTTCATAGGTTATTGCACACAATTTTTTTGCCTAATGAAACAACTAAAATTTAGCAAAGTTTTAGTGTTTTTGAGCTAATTTTTTATTAGAAAAAATAATTTATTTCAAAAAGTGCCAAGTTGGCACTAGTAAACCCATATATTTTTAGAATCCTATAACAAAGAGGAATAAGATTCTTTTCAATTAAATTGTGCCAATATAGCACTTTTAAACAGAAAAATTAAAAGAATGACCCTACCCCATTAGTTGGAGGTACATATTACAATCTGTGCACATTCTCAAACGATCAGTGTTTGGATATTGAAAGAATTGAAAATAAACAAGAGGGCAGTTCTTTACTTAAAAAGAACAATTATATCACATGCCCCGAACAAATCTTCAAACCAATTCCAACTTTTAATGCAAAATCAATACAAGTATCATGTAATATACAAGTATCAACCTGTAATGCAAAATCAATACAAGTAAATTGGCATCTTGTAACAATAGTGTTCATGTTATTCCATATTCTTGATATGTCAACACTTAATATTATAAATTATTACATTTAAAAACATTTTTATAGTATCTTTATGCTTTATTTAAAAACTGGTGATATTTTATAGTATCTTTATGCTTTATTTAAAAACTGGTGATATTTTTATAGTATCTTTATGCTTTATTTAAAAACTGGTGATATTTTTATAGTATCTTTATGCTTTATTTAAAAACTGGTGATATTTTTATAGTATCTTTATGCTTTATTTAAAAACTGGTGATATTTTTATAGTATCTTTATGCTTTATTTAAAAACTGGTGATATTTTTATAGTATCTTTATGCTTTATTGGGTACATTTTTTCTATTTCATGAAGACTGTTGCGCATGTGAAAGCTGGTGTTTTTGAATGGTCTGAGTCCCTTTCCAGTGCTTCAAATAGATTTCTGAAGCAAGTAAAGACTTCATTACCAACAGACTTCATTACAAACAGTGATAATAATAAAAAAACAAAACAAGTATAAAATGGAACTACCCTGATGCAACTAGAAAAAAAGGAACAATAACAACAGGTAATATAGCTAGAGAACTATTGCATAAAAAATCAAATAGGGATTTAACTATTTCACAATTGCCTGTTCGATATCATGCAACATTTCAAAGATTTGAATTATTGTTCTCAGTAATTCTTTGAGTAATTATTTTCCTCCAAAAAAAAAAAAGATTTGTGTAGATCAATATAAAAGCTATTGTAAAGGTTTTTATATATTCCTGTTTAACAAGTGTCTGCCTGTTACAAAAATAAATTTACCTGGACCATGGATCAGTATACTAGATTCTCAAGAAAAAAAACTCCTAAATTGTCAGTTTAACAGATACCATTAACCGAATTTGGATATCATCTGATCAAACTATTTGTGACAAGAGATACAAGTCAAAACCATTCTGCAAATTTTGTAATAAAAAAGGACATTCTGATAGATACTGTCATAAACAAAATGTCTCTAATAACATTTTATCTGAAGACAGCACATATTTTACAATGTTAACATATAAATAAATTTTAGTACTTCTTTTGATAATTTTTATTGTTTTTGTCATTGATGTACTTATGTTATCTTTGTATTACAAAATATACATACATATTTATATACATTTTTAAGTATTTTTGTTTTAACCAACAAAAAAGCAAATTTTATGAAATTTTAAATATTTTGTTCTTCCAAACTATAACAATATATATACTTAAATATCATGCAGCAAAATTGTTTTTTAGTTTTTCAACAAATTATTTGAGGTGTTTCAACAATTTTGCTCTACAGAAGATGTGCACTGCAGAAGATGTTTGAAATTGAAACATTATGGCCTTTTTGTTCAACTTGAAGAAAACCATTATGCCACCATTACTATGCATCTCTGGACTTTTTCATAACAGAACTTGCAACCTAATTTGAATCAATGAACATTACAGAGAATCTATGAAATGTCAAAAAATTTGTTGTTCAGTGTTTAGATTGATCGAGGCCTCCACAAAGCTAACTTTTATAATTACAGAAGATTAAACTTAGATTGCTATATATTTATGGATCAAAATCCAAGGAAAGTAAAATTCTATACCTATGACCTAGATTATAACACTATTCTACATTTTTAGAGTGTAATAATTTTGTTCATAATTATTAAAACAACTTTTTCTTGTCACTAATGCAAAAGGTTTTAGATTATTATAATAGTTTTATGTTTTCCATTAAACATGAAGAACAAATAATTTTATTATTAATGTTGATTATTTAAAAAGTGGAAAAAGCTATCAACCATAAGTAATCTTTTAACCATACCATTGTTGTTTTACTTTTTAACGATAATCTTTAATCTTTTAAACTCATTTAAATTTATTCAAAATTAATTTTTAAATAGACTAAAAATTACTTTATAAAAATATAAAAGCGTAAATTTATTTAATAAATCTAAATCAAACATCAAAGAAACTTTTAAAAAATATATATTGGAGAAGCAATAAATATTCTTTAATATATCATTTATCTTAATTTAACGGTCAAAAATGTTTTGGTGGTTTTAGACCTTCTCCTCCCCTTTATAATATTGCTTTTGTAATATCCATAAGATTGTTTCTGTGATATCCATAAGGTTGCTCTTGTAATATTCATAAGATTTCTCCTGTAATATCAAGACTTAAGTGCATTCATCTGATTATAATGTTGATATGCTTATTTCTAGTCAGTCTTTTTGCTCCACTGTAACTAAGTAGAAATTACAAGAGAAATTTACTGTGAGGTGCCTATTACCAGGTAAGCATCTGTCATTAAAATAACAAATGTTAAATACATTGTAAGCAGGTTTTTAGTGGATCTGTTCAGTACATGTCAGGTGTTAAGATAAAAGTTTGCATTTTCCAGGGAAAATATTAGAAAAAAAAGTTTTATGACCAGTTTATTTGTATTTTTTACTGATCTTTTTTAAAAGTTTAAAAAGTAAATAACAATTTTTGTTATATAAACAAAGTTGATCAATAAAACAGCAGTTTATTTATTTTTTGTTATTTATTATTAGTTTTGTAACTTTTAGAAACATTAAAATTTAGGGTTTACATCTGTAACTATACTGCTAGTTTTCTATAAGTTTTAGTAAATTAAAAAAAAATATTATTATACCTCTAATTGCCCTTAAATATATAAATTTGTCATTAATAAATGCTACTTTTTAGCTGTCTGTTAAGCCTCACATAACTTAATAGTGGACTATGAATTGGCATATTTTATATGAATTTGCATATTTTACTTATTATAGATGCATCTACAGATGAAATAAAAGTCAAGGAAAAAAAGAAAAAGAAAAAAACCTCATTGACACAGGTTCAACTTTTTGTTATCAAAACATTTATATATTTTTATTACATTTGCCACTTTTGCCACTGATCAGCCATATATTTATATTAGTTTTTGTGTATATAATTAATATATATATATATATATATATATATATATATATATATATATATATATATATATATATATATATATATATATATATATATATATATATATATATATATATATATATATATATATATATATATATATATATATATATATATATATATATATATATATATATGTATATATTTATATTAAACATATAAACATATATAGTACACATATAAATAGCTAGATTCCTAAAATAGAAAGATGTTAGGTGTGCGGTATTTTATACATATATACATTAGTGATGTATTAGTTGCACATTTTTGGCCAATGCGGATAACGATGCCAATGAATAGGAAAAGGTCGATACCAATGGATTAACTAGTTATTAAAACTTTTGAAAATATAAAACCATACAATTTTAAATCATGTAAACTTAATTATGGAATCAGAAATTGTAAACAAATATTTAGACCTAAATCAAAGCTTTAATTTAAAAGCTATTATAAAAACTTTGTTAAAATAATATACAACTTTATATAATATACAACTTTATATAATATACAACTTTATATAAACTATAATTTAAAAGCTTTAATTTAAAAGCTATTATAAAAACTTAAAATAATATACAACTTTTAGTTTTTTTATCCATGATAACTTTCAAAAAATAAATACAATTTTAGAGGAATGTTTTTTATTTCAATTTTAAAAAGAAAATGGTATTATGATAAGCAGTTTACTTGGAATTTTTAAATATTATTATAAAAAGCAAATTAAAAAAAACCTTTACAAAAATATATATACATTTTTTCTCAAAATAAAGTAAAATGAGACTTTAAAATCAAATATCAACAGTATAATAACTTTAGGTTTCTATAGAAAGCACCAATAACAGTTGTAACAATGTTTAGTATTTAAAATTGTGTATACGATATTGTAATGTAAAAACATAAGCATTTCTCCTGTTTACGAAGTTAATCTATTTCATCGTGAAGAATAAGCTTGTCCTCCACAACTGAATAATCGTTCACTTTCAACAGAAGATGGAGGGCATGATAAATATTTCTGAGCTATTGGAGATAATTGCTTGAAGTTATTTCTATTTGCTCCCCACTATACTATAGGACTCTTTGTCTTAGCTCAAATAAATTAAAAATTCATTTTTCAATTTTTAATAATGCTTGCTTTCTGTTTCTTGCAGAACTTCATTTGGAAAAAAATTATTTTTATACCTTGGATCTAAAAATATAGCTAAATTGAGATTTTTGTCATTGAGATATTTTTCAAATCTTTCATTCGCTGATTTTTTACATTCTTTTAAAGTTGTCCCTAATCCTAAAAACAAGAGAGACTTTTCAGCTTGAATCAGCATGGTTTTAATAACTTGTACAGTTGGAATTATAGCAGATGCAATTGCTTCACGCTCACTTAACAAATTTGATATATCATTAAACATTTTTAAAAGTTGTAGTAATTTTTTTTAAATAATTCATTCATTGTTTTCTAGTGACTTCAGTTTAGAGCTGTCATTATCATAACAAAATGAGATCAAAGCACGCTTCTGTTCAAAAATTCTTTCAAACATAAAATATTGACTATTCCGTCTTGTTTGAACCTATTTTCTGGTACTTGATAATGAGTTTGATATTTTTGATAAGCTTCAAAAGAAGATGGCTAATGATTAACATTGAGTTGACAAACTCGAAGAATTGCTGATTTTTGATGAAATTCATTAGTTAACCAATGAGCTGTCAAGCTAAGAAATGAGCATTTTTCATTGATAGATGCCCATCCATCAGTTGTAAATGAAATCTATGAAGCATCATTTATTTTTTTTTGGACATTTTGTCTGGCTTAATTGTATATATTTTGAAAAACAGAGTTTTTAATGTATTTTCTACTTGGAATGCAATAGTTATGACATGTGTACTTGGAATGCAATAGTTATGACATTAATCGTTTAGCTATCATTGAAATCCGATGTCTTCTACTATAGAAAAAGGTTGAATATCAACTGCAATCATTTCTGTAGTGTATTTATTAATTTAGACCTGTGATCATTAATGTCCCAGGGCTTTTTTCTCTCAAGTGTTTTAAACAAAGTTTGTTGAGACTGTTTTGAGCAACTTGAATCAGTTGACTTGATTTTCTTGAACACATTTTGTTCACTTTCTGCTCTCCTTTTGTTTTCTTCATTAAGTTTCAACTCTTTGCTTGCTATTTCTTTATGTTTTTTTATTCTTCATTAAGTTTCAACTCTTTGCTTGCTATTTCTTTATGTTTTTTTATTCTTCATTAAGTTTCAACTCTTTGCTTGCTATTTCTTTATGTTTTTTATTAATATGAGACAACATATTTGTTGTGTTAAAAGACTTTTATTTTTTTCTTTGTTACCTTTTTTAATCTTCAGTTTGCATGTGCTACATATTGCAATTCAAGCATCTTCAGGAAAAATAGCAAAATATTTCTACACCCAACTGCGTGATTTTATTGGAATACTAATATTGGAACTTTCCAAACAAAACTCCTGCCATTCTGAATATATATTTAATTCTGCAACTTTATTTAATTTAGATATCTAAATAACAATCATATAAAAATATAGAAGGCAATACTTGAATACATATAGATACAAATGCTTAAATAGGTTAGTTTTAAGTATAATAATAAAACAATATAAAATAAAATTATTCTAAAAGCAACATAGTAATAAAAGTGTAAATACATTTAGCTGTAATTAAAGCTTATAAACATCATATAGTGAATTTAAGTTGACGTTACCCTAATATATTTTGCTGCCTTTAGTTCAGATCTTTTTCAGGCAAAAATAAAGTAAAAAGCAAAAAAAAATAACGAAAAAACAACATTTTTTGTTCTCAGTAATAATTGTCATAATAAAATATTGTGATATTCATAGAATTAATATTTTGAAAAACTTATAGATATATTATCTTTATTTCACTGTTATAATATTTTGATTCTTTAATTTTTTTATTTGACTATTAATTTTGCTTGTTTGATTGAAAAAAATGTAGTTTAATTTACATTTAATTTTTTTTTTTTTTAATCTACATTAAAAAACAAGAGTTAACATTAAGTAATTAAACGTTATTTATATATTTGAAACAAGTTGTTTTTAAGATTTCAACAAGTTTTAGTATTTAAAGAAAGTTATGGCAATCAATAGTTGTGATTGCTTACAATTTCTTATAAACTTTGGGTATATTTTTATATATTGTAGCGTAACGAGGGGCAAAATGAGACACTTAAGCACTAATTTATCTAATACGGCCTGTCTAACAACTTTTGAAAAAGTAACTTGATATTTTTCAATTCTTCTATCATCCTACTTGAAGCTTACTAAATATGAGTTGCAAAACTGCAGTGGTTTGGTCACCAGAGATCATTTATTGACAGCACCTATCCTGTCTCATTTTGCCCCGCATACCGGGGCAAAATGAGACAGATTTTTTTTTTTTTGTAATTTAAATAAATAAAGTTAAACAAAACAGATCTTTAAGAGGATTAGCAAGAAATACATTTTATAATATATTACAACTATAATCAAACTGTCACTAATCACATAAATCACATATTGCTTGACCCAGTATTTTAAAACGAAAAACAGTCCGAATGAGCCCAGGTTGTGCATTTTGAACATTGACTTCTCTCCTTTATATAAACATATATATATATATATATATATATATATATATATATATATATATATATATATATATATATATACCCACTACAAGAACTAATAAAGCCATACATGCTTATATTGAACTTATGTATTTAAAGCACTCATAAAATTCATTGTATTTTGTTTATAGTTTACTGCAATAACCTATATGCTATAATCTACTCACTATATATTTTATATACTACTTACTTTATTACATTACAATTACATATACAATACAATAAGATTATAAAATACAAGCATAGTAAATATAAACATCAGGCAATTATTTGCTTCAATTTGATTGAATATTTATTATATTTAAATATAAGTTAACAATATATAAAACATGATTCTATATTGGATTACAACTAAACATTTCAATTAACAAAATAAAAAGTAAGTAAATACAGTATAATAAATTTAAATCTAAAGCATGTAAATATTAACATTTGCTATGTTTGTTGTTTTAATGTAAAAAATTAAACAAACATATTATTAGATATCGGCAAAACAAATACAAACAGAATGTCTCGTTTTGCCCCGCATCATATTGGCATCAAATAATTTTAAAAATCATGCACCTAATTTCCAGACTATTTTATTGAAGAAATAAAATACCAAAGAATGGAAATGATAGAAAAAGGCCTAAAAATTCTAATAAAAAAAAAAAATTTTAATATAAAAAGCTTTTCCACTCAGTGAGATCAAAAAAGGCTAGAAAAAAATAAAATAACAACACTTAAAAATTCGTAATTTTCGCGAAGCCGAGGGATGAAATGATTCCCCTTCTACTCAACTTTTTTTTTCAAAGTGCCTCATTATATTTTTCTTGACACAAAATAGTTTTTGAACACAACTGTACTTTTAAAAATCATGCAAATAATAATTTGTAGGGCTGGCATCATAATAAACGCGAGCTGTCTCATATTGCCCCACTGTCTCACTTTGCCCTGCATTACCCTATAGTTTTATATATATATATTTTTGTTGAATTATTTTAAAAACAGAAAACCAAATATTGTTGCAGAGTTATTTGAAAGAAAAATATGTGAAAAAAATGTTGATAAAAATATTAAAAATATCTGAGAGTTAAATCCTCTTTTTTTTTCTTGCAAAAAATGCACTTGCTCTTGTTACGAGTGTTCAATAACACAATAACACTATTGTAAGAAGTTGTTATAGAAAGATTTGCTAGCTTGATATTTTTGGTTGTTTGTTGAAAATTTTAAGTTAAAGATTATTTTGAAAATCAGCTTAGAGCCTCTCTAGTAACATATTTGATGGTAGAGAAGTCATCAGTATTAGTATTGAAATTATGGGATTAGCAAGTATACAGTGGTATACAGTGTTAACACAGTCAAATTGTGAATATATTAATGTAAAACCAATAGTATACAGGGGGTATAATAAAGTATATGATAGAATTTTTTCTTTTTTATGGTAAAATTTAAAACCCACTAATTTTGAAAGTATTATTAAGAAATTTTCGAATCGATAAAGTATCAATCAAATGTTCAAAATCAATAAAACATTAATCAAATGCTCAAAATTGATAAAACGTGAATTAAATACATATAGTATTATAGCGTTGCATAATTTTAGATACAAAAAAGTTATACTAACGGGTTTGTGGCAGCCACATTAGCATGCTCAACTTAACAAACCTTTTGCAGGCTCATCTTGATAAAGTAAAGGTTTTGTCAAGGCCCTATTGAAAATTATCGGTGTTTTTTTTAAACAAAAGACTCAGAAGACTGGGTCAGGTCTGACAATAATGTCTAATAGCAACGTTTCATAAAGGGGAAAGGACATTAATAAATAGTGATACTATTTTTAAGTGTTGAATTTTGTTTAGGGAAGCGAAACAGCTGAAAATGTTAAACGCAAGAAAAAGCTGAAAGCAACTGACTTACAAAATCAAATAACGGCAAATAGTTCAGACATAGGTAAATCTAAAGAAGCAAAAAATCAAAATGTCACAAAGCATACAAAATCTTTAGATGAAAAAAAGAAAAAAACGAAATCCAAGGCCAAGCAGCCTGAAGATACACTTGACAACTTTTTTGCCTCTTGATTGATAAAAGATCTTGATTGATAAGAAATTATGTGTAACTAGTGAATTTATTTTTGATATATCAAGAAATTTATTTTCGGTGCTATTTTCGCGGCTCTTTTGTCTTTTACGTAAACTTTAAAATTGTTGTTTTTAAAATATATATAAAAAAAAATTTGTGTTATAATAATTATTATACTTCTTGAAACTAGCCATTCCCACCCAACTTCATCTTTTTCATTTTTTTTCCTTTCAATTTTTTTGATTCCTCCACCCCTCCTCCCTCTCATTTATTGTTTTTGTTTAAATAATTTACTGCATACTTACTATTAGGGTTGAAAATTTCCTGACTTTTAAGTGAAATTTTGTTAAAAATTTTGGGAAATTTTCAAAAAACTTTTGTTGCAATAAACTTATAGCTATTATAAAATTTTATAAAATTCTGTTTCAAAAATTTGCGTTCATCGTAGTATTTGAGTATTCTTTAAAACTTTTAGTCAAATTTTTATAATCAAGTTTATCAATTTTATAATCGCGCTTTTTTTAAAAATAATAAGATGCTATAAGTTGTTATATGTTATTCTCCTCTCATTTTATTCGTAGAATCACCACTGATTGCATACAAAATTTTAAAATTATAGGAAGATTTTTATGAAAATTGCATTTAAACCATCTTTATAAAAGGTGCATGTTATAAATACACTAGCTGCGTTAGATTATACTAATTTATCTAAAAATGACATTAGTAAACACATATGAATGTTCAATAAAATAATAAATTAATTTGCTTGATATGATACTTATAAAACATACACACACAAAAATCGCCTTTTTGGCAGTATTGGTTGAAAAATACGGTATACATTTAAACCATTTTAAAGTACAGCATAATTTTTTAATTTATTGATTTATTAAGTCAAAAGTGCCCTAGCAAGGTTGTGGTGAGTGAGATTCAAGTCTTAGAAACACTTATTTAAACATAGCGGCGATATTTATGACCTCGAAATCATTAGTTCGTTATTTTTATTGCTAACTATATTTTTAAATAGTTCAAATTTAGCAAAAAACTTTTCTTTACTTTTTGCCTTTCATTAATCAATGAAGTCTTAAAATCAAGAAAAAATTATAAAATACTGTAAATATTCAATCGAGTCTTTTAATATATAATTTTACAGTTTTCAGTAACTTGTAGGCCAACTTAACAGATATTCAAAAATGCCCCACCTCTTTAGGATAGGGGTGCAAATTGTGTTTAGCCTTAAAGTTTAATACGGTAATGAACATCAATATGCTTAGCAAGTAACAAAATAAAGCAGTTATAAAAATTTTTGAAAACAAATTATCATAGTTCTAACTTATAGTTACAATAAAAAAACTTAACAAAATACCAAAAAAAGTGTTTTTCTAAAATTTTTATAATCTGCTTTACAATATTTTACCATAAAATTGTCCATAACAATGCCTAAATAAGTCATAAAATTTTACCCATTAATTATAAAATAACTTTTTTCAAAAATTTCCATTATACAACTACCAGTTGTACAAACAAATGTTGCCAGTTACAAACAAAATTTTAAAATCAAAAATAGATTTTCTTGATTACAGATTATAAAAACTATTGTAATAATTTATTATATTAATAAATAATAATTGAACTATTATATTAATAAATAATAATTTAGAAGTGCTTAGTGTGTTAATAACACAATATTAATAAGTATTTTTAAATTTTTTTTCTTTCTGTTTTTATTGCAAAGCTCATTATTAAGTCAATGTGAAAGTTTCATCGCGACCTTTGATTTAATTCAACCTTCGATTAATTTCAAAACAGCGTAATCGACCTTTGGTTTATTTCCAAACAGTATTATCAACTTATAGAATTGAGAGCTTTTAATTATTTTCTCAACCGAACCGTTTGGTTAAGTTATGATCTTGCAATGATTTATAAATCAAAATTTAATTTATTTCAAATCAATGACCACAGCGATCGCTGGTAGTTGATAAATTTTATTTTGTGATTGAAAATATCAAATTAATCAAATTAATGACTTAATTCCTATTGAATAGTTTTCTATCAAATCACAGAGTGAGGTAATCAAGATGGATGTCATAATACAAAAATAGTTTTCTATCAAATCGCAGAGTGAGGTAATCAAGATGGACGTCAACATACAAAAATAGTTTTCTATCAAATCGCAGGTAACAAATCACAGAGTGAGGTAATCAAGATGGATGTCAAAATACAAAAATAGTTACAACAATTGTAAATAAACTACTATTACATATTAAATATTTACATAAATAAAGGTTACTAATAAAAAAAAAAAATGATTTACGAGAACCATTTAAAAAGGAAAGACGAGGAAAGAAGGAAGTGAGGAAAAAGGACGTCATAAATTCGCCTTAATATCTTATAATAGATTGATCGTTTGTTAGTAAATGCCGAAAGAAAAAATTTTTTCTGCGTATTGTTTTTACCTAAGTTATATATTTTTCTATAAATTCTATATATTTATTATCTATTGCGTATTGTTACCTAAGTTTTAAATTTTTCTAAATTATGAAGTTATAAAAAATGAAATCTAAGATTAATTTTGATAATACAGTAATATGTTTAATAATGTTGAGAATACGTCAGGTTAGAATTATTTTGTTCTAACTCTCCATTTACTTTAACTGAGATAAATCAAGTTGAAGTTTTACACTGCAATCCATCAGAAGTGGCAACCCAGTGGGCACCCGACGTCAATCCGTTTACGTTTGATTTTCATCAGCGATGTCAAAAGACCTATTCCGACGTTGTTCCGATGTCAGTAAAATGACGTCGGGCGATATCTTTATCTCAACATCCCCTGACGTCGTTTCGATGTATTTTGACGTTGTTCCGACATCTTATAAAAGACGTCCAAAAAACGTCGCAGTACTGACATCGATCCAACGTCGATAAAAAGACGTCGGGCAACGTCATAATATTAACGTACTCCGATGTCTTTTGACGTCTTCCGACGTCAATCCAACGTCCTTAAAACGACGTCGGAACAACGTCGTAAGACATCGCTGATGAAAATTTAATCCAAACCCAACAATATGTGTGCAATTGCGCTCTTCAATAATTATGTGAACTAAGCGTGTTTTTTTATTAATGGAAAAAAGTTTGAATAAAGGTTGATAAAACATCATGAGGTTTTGTATGATGCACTAGCATAGTTTTTTAACTATTAACATTTTCGAGTATACATTTTTTATAATACATAACTATTCGTTTTAATATTTATATAATATTTAAACAAAATTTTTTCTTATCAAAGTAATAATTCCTAAATAGCTACAAGTATAAATTACTAAATAAACTCATCAATTAATTTGTCCTTGTGGTGTAGTGGTAAGCGCACAGGATTTTGTATCTAATAGACCGAGGTTCGATTCCTGCCAAAGGCAACGTTTTATTAGTTTTCAAAAAACACGTTGGATTTACATCGGAATGCCGACGTCGCGCGATGTCAGTTTATCCGACGTCAAATAACATTTCCATTTCCAACGTAAACCCAACGTCGATCCGACGTCGAGATCCGACGTTGCTCGACGTTCGTTCGACGTCGAGATGCCCACTGGGAATACATTTTTTAATAATGCAAACGTTTTTCAATACTTGACTATATACTCTTTATAATTATTTGTTGTGAAAAAATATTTTTTTTTGCTCAAATCGCTATTATGGCCCCACCCTGTTTGGAGATAGAACAAAATAACTTTTAAATTTTAATTTTGCCCTTATATTATTTTGTGCTATCTCTATTTTTTAGTATATACAACTTGAACGTTTTGCGAGGAGTTTATGGATTACAACAAATTTCTTTTAATTTAGGGATTTAAAAGCAAATATAGACCCTAAAACACTTAGTTAGCAAATTTAAATGGATATGGTCATTTAGTCAGTTTTCTAGATATATTGCTTCTGGTAGGATGGACAACTTCAATTTAAACAAACTGATTTTAACCAAAGCTATATTATTTATAATAAAATTACTTTTTACAAGACTGAAATTTTCTCGAGATCTATGCTACCTACAAACATGTATACGACTTATTTGTTAGTTTACTATGCCTAGAGCAAGCTTGAAAAAAATTGGCACCCTAGCTTTATGGGATCACCTTGTTACAACTTGTTTTCGGAAACCATGATTTTCGTTTAGCAAATCACTTTGTTGTAATATTGATAATAAAACTGCATAATAATTTTTATTTAATTTTATCGTTAAAATATTGTGATATAGAATGAAATATCATTATTATTAGGACAAGAGAAAAACATGCAAAAGGCCAGATGTTTTTTGGTTCAAAAAACCGATTTACTTATGATAAATTTTGTATTTTAAAAATATTATTTGTTTTACAAAACCTCATGATAGAATTTGTTTATATTGATAATTTAATAAGACTGCGTTTGGTAAATATAAATATGCAGTTTTTAACAATTATTGAATATTTATATTTTATCTACACTTTTTTTATTTATCAAAAATCAGTATCTAAAGTTTTCATTGTTTTTGGTTTAAAGTTAGTTTAATGCTGGTTTTTTATTAAAAGTACATTCGTAAAGTTGTTTATGTTTAGTTATTTTTAATAATAATGTTAAACTAATATTTTTTGGATGTATTTAATACATTTTTTGAACTATGAGGAATAGAACAGGTATTTTTAGATTCCGAAATTATAAAATGCAAAAGAATTATATTAAGAAGAGTAAGTGCACTTTTTGGTGCGTAACCAGCTAAGATCTGTTCCACGAAGCTACCGACTAGGGCTGATGATAAAGAAAAGAATGGGCCAAGTTATCAAAATAAGCGTCTTATATGCTGTTTTTTCAGCAACAAGTTCAGGTTCAATTTATAATTTATACTTTAATCGGTTTAAAATGAACAAAAAACCTACAGAAAAACATATTTATTTATAAGTAAATAACACTTCAATAGCATTGAGGAAAAAATATAATGTTATATGTAGTTTCACAAAAATTATATTTGTTGAAAAAAAATGTCTGATAAGTTTTTCGTCACAAACTCTTCAAATTTTTTTATTCATTATCCAGTGTAC